CTCTGGATTGTTTCTGCTTAATGATAGAATACAAAATGAAGTTTTACAAATTCTTATGATTTTACTGACTTCATTTCTGCGTGTGTTTGTTATATATCAAACAGGCTGTGGCTTCAGCTGTAAAAAGTGAAAGCCCACCTTGGAAGATTGGGAGAATATTTTGCAATTACTATTTATGGGAATGTGACTGTGAAATTTTTTGTTAAATTTTAGTTAAAAATTACAGTGAATTTTACTGTAAATTACAGTAAATTTTAAGATGACGTAGCAAAAAATGTAGAAGTATGTATAAAATTCTATTTTACATGTGTTGCACAAAGAAAATTGTTGTATCAACTTAAAGCATACAGCAAGTAGCAACTGATTTAATGCACATGGTTCGATCTAAACTTTATCTTACAGCGTCAAATAGTATGTTTCTGAATCATATCCATGCTGCAGGGAATTTCTGTCCTTGGTGAAGGAGAAATTAGTCATGAAGAGGAAGAAAAAAAGCAGAAAATAATTTCTGTTCCAAATATTATATCACGGAAACATAGAATAAGTTGGGGGATGACTCAATGACTTACCTTGTTTGTTGTGAGTTACGAATCAGAGTGAGCTGTGGTGATGGCAGAGAGAGATGCCAAAGGTGGAGGGAGGGAGGAACAGCTAAGATCAGGGGTAATCTTCTCTGAAATTTATAGCTATTAGAGCTACTGTGTAATTAAGCTGAAGTCAAATGAAAAAAATATGCAGTTTTCTGAATTAGAGCCCATTGCGGCTGTTGTATTTCCCATTTTTTTCTAAATAAAGACAGACCTGTAGAACGTGGAGTAGGAGAAAACAAAAGGGGGGCCTGTGCTGATTCTTATAAAATAGTTCCTGGTATAGTATTTTTTGCCGAGAAAGTGATACCGTGTGAGTTGCGAAAGTGGATTCTGCAGCATTTTCTTTTATTTGGGCATTATATCCTATAACGTCTGTCCAAACCCACATCTGAAGCACTTAATCTAGTACATGTACCCATGCTATGGTGATAGCTCTTTATTTTTCCTTGTTTCTGCTCCTAGGAGTGTCTCCCAAACTGTTTTGGAGGGGATGCCCCTTGTTTATCACTCTTTCACTGGGGACACTGGGTTTCTGGGAGCACATTGGGCCACCTTCAATGGAATGGGCTGCACAGGGAAGAGTGTGGCCAGGAGGTCCAGGGAGGTCATTCTCCCCCTCTGCTCTGCACTGGTGAGGCCCCATCTGGAGCACTGGGTCCAGTTCTGGGCTCCCCAGTTCCAGAGAGACAGGGGACTACTGGAGAGAGTCCAGCATAGGGCAATTAAGATGATGAAGGGATTGGAGCATCTCCCTGAGGAGGAAAGGCTGAGAGAGCTGGGACTCTTCAGCCTGGAGAACAAGTACCTAAAGGGTGGGTTGAGGGAGGATGGAACCGGACTCTTTTCAGTGGTTCCCAGTGACAGGACGAGGGGCAACAGGCACAAGCTGGACCATGGGAAGCTCCACTCCAATCTGAGGAAGAACTTCTTTGGGGTGAGGGTGGCAGAGCCCTGCAAGAGGCTGCCCAGGGAGGGTGTGGAGTCCCCTTCTCTGGAGATCTTCAAGCCCCACCTGGATGCCGTCCTGAGTGATGTGCTCTGGGCAACCCTGCTTTGGCAGGGGAGTTGGACTGGATGATCTCTAGAAGGTTGCTTCCAAATCCAACAATTCCATGATTCTATGATTCTGTAATAGGCAGACGGTCATCCCAGAGCTGGGCAGTTACAGGATTTAGAGGGGCACTGGGCATAGTTCTGTGACACTGAGCCATGCCTCTGGCACCTGAACTACCAAGTTCTGATGGTCCACTGTAGTCAGCATTTCCTACTGTCTGGCTCTAGGTTGCTCCTAACACCTTTTCAGAGATCCATTTTCTCGGGGTGCGCTCACCCGGGGAGCTGGGCATCGCCTCTCTCTGCCAGGTAACTGCAAGGAAAGAGGAGAAATATGCTGGTGATGCCCCGGAATCACTCATGCAGTGTAGATTTCCTAATTATTTGGCACAACAGCAGCCCTGCCAAAGCCGTGAAGGTGTCAAGAATGGACCCTAGTTATCAATTCCGGCATTCGTTGATGTTATGAAGTGGCCAGAGGGTTATTTTCTGTATCAGTGGTTAAACAAGGATTTTTATTTTTTTTTAAACAAAGCACTCCTAGCAGAGGTACTGAAGCAGCCTGACCATTGCAGAACATCTCCATTTGTCAGGAAGCTTTTGCAACCACCAAAATATTGTTTGTGGGGATATTGTGAAAGCAGGCAGTCAGTGTTGCATGAGCCAGAAAAAGAACCAGCCATTAAATTGAATTCTAGTTTTACCTTAACAATAAAGTTATTTTATCCCATTTTGCCCAAACCCTACTCAATTTTAAAGGGGTGAGGAGAAGGGGTGGGTGGGTGTGAAGTCTTTAAAGCTTGACGGGAGGAATTTTTATATTTTTTTCATACCTACCTTTTTGCGAAAGCAGGACCCAGCTCATGTAGTTAAAGGTACATGGTAAATTCTAAGAAGCATCTTTTGAAGTCAGAAAAATCCTTTTGTCATCATCATCTTCATCCCCATTCGGCCAGAACATAAGGGTGAGATGTGGTCGCATAACTCTGAAAGTTGCTGGGAATTCCTTCAAAAGGAACTCCAAGAAAGAATAATTCCTCTGAACAAAATACTCAGACTTTACAATGCCATATTTTGTTACAGAAGCACATTTTCTGTTTTTTTCTTTTTTCTTTTTTTTTTTTTCATATTAACTATAACTAAACTGAAGGTATTTCAGATTAGGACATTGTTAGACTGGATGAGCATTTTGCAGGCCTATGTCTGTTTTCACTGACACAAGAGCAACCAGCATTCAAATAATGAGCTGGTTTGTGGGTGCCCAAGTGTCCAAAGAAAGGGAGAAGCAAAAAGCTAAACTCGAAATGAGAATAATTGACAAAATCTCTTTTATCTTTTTAGCCACATGGAACATTTTGCATCATCTGGATTATTCAGTGCAAAACTGAAATGCAATTCTTTAGAAGTCTTTGGGGTTTTAACATTTTCTTACAAAGTTTCTTTTTCTTTTTTTTTTCCCTCATCTTTGAGGGCAAATTTTTTTAAAAGTACATGTTTTGGATACTGAGCATTCGGTGCTCATCTGAAAGCTTTCTTGTTTGGAAGGCACACGGCAGCGTTAAAACGTTATGGGATGGCTTTATATTGAACAAGAGGACAACTAAATGGGCCCATGGAGTCTTCATACAAGGGCTTTGGAGTAATTTGGGGAATTTATGTCATATTATTTGTTATGCCAGAATCTCCTAGCCTTGCCTTGTCTTCTGGGCAGTTGTGCCTTCCCTCCAGCTGAAGCGATCATCTGCCAATCAAAGGTTTTTGAGTCAAACCATGATAGGATTTTGAGAAGTTCACTCAATTTGATGACTTCCTATTAGTGAGAGATTCTGATCCAGGATCCTTGGGGAATGCAAGTTTTATTTGATTTGCTAAAGTAAGAAAGGAAACAAAAAACCCAAGAAAACAAATAAGAAAATTATAACATACAATCTCCTTTTACTGTAGTCCCCATGGAAAATGAGGGCCTGCCCTCATCCATATTTATACCAAAAATGGTTCCCATGTTGAACAAACCAGTCTGCTACTAATCTTGCGGTTTTTTTCTAAATCTCATTCTCGCCCAAGAGGAAAGTATATTCCATTTACTAGACGTGTGTGGTGGACTTTTTATTTTTTGCCCTTTCTTTTTTTTTTTTTGATAGAACCGTAGGATTTAGTAAGTCGGTAAGACTTTTTGTACATTTGGGGATCAGTGTAAAGAAAATGCCATTTCCACTTGGTGCTATTTCAGTGGATTAGTGCATCAAAACATACGTATTAGCTTGAGTGAGAACACCTCCAGGTCTCATAGCTCTGCTGGGGCTGTGATAGCTTCCTTCATGCTACCTGAGATTCTTGCACGTATTTTTTTTGGTCAAAGCACTCTGGAGGTAAATGCCTGATACTCTGTGTGATAGGAATTCTGCAACCCTCTCGTAATTGAGTCATTATCCAGGTGGTGCTAATGGAAAGGAAATGAAGAGTCCACTTCAAAAAATTAAAAAAAAAAAAACAAAAAAGTTGAAGTGAAGCTCCATCCCCAACAGTGGTTGATAAAAGTGCTGTGTTTGTGTAAACTCCCCTTCCCAGCCCAGCTTTCAGGGGATTCTTGGATTTAGTGAAAGGAGTGAAAGGAATTGGTCTGATGGGCCCTTTTCAATGACAGCGCCCCAGGAAATGACCTGGGGAAGTCTCTTGGTCTCAGAAGGTTTCCAACGTTCCTCCAAAAAACAAAACATCCGAATATTCAGATGGATTGTTCAAAAAAACACAGCAGACATTTTATAGCTGTAGTCAATGTACCTTATATTTCAACTCATATATTTTACATGCTTCACATCTGTTGTTTTGTTGCTTTTAGTTGATTTAATGTAAGTACTCTTTTTTATTTGGAAAGATGTCCTTTTTTATATTTAGCACTATAATAAATGTCCACAAGTGTCATCTGTTCAAAACTTCACAATTGACGCTTCACATTTACATATACAGCATTTAAAAAATTTGGCCTAAAAGTCAAATTCTCCCCAAGACAGATCTTTAAGCATTGGCTTCACTTTTGCATGTGTCACGGTAATAACCATACAGTAAAAACAGATTATAGCCTGTGTGTGAGAGGCATCAAGCGCCAAGTTATTTACTTCAGTGAGAGCAGCTGTAAACTTAAACAAATGTTGATTTGTCTCAGTAGATGATGCATTTCTTACCCTATTCTTTCCCATGCATTATTCATTTTATCGCAGTCACAAACTACATCTTAAATATAACAAAATACCATGGGTGCTAGGTTCTTCTAGCACTTAGTTTCCAAAATACTTGCGGTTCCACTGGTGTCAGAGGGTAATTAATTTGCTCATGTGTTTTCTTTCCTTCTTTTGATAGTGCTAAAGCTCCATCCACTGCCAGATGTCTTTCTGCCTGACTGAGATGTTTCTGTGGTCTTTGAGGACTAACTTACATATCAGAGGTGAGCTGTTGCCTGTTACTACAACAATGCAGTAGAGCTTGTTGATGAATATTAAACCTACATAAAATTCTGAAGTGGGTTCTTGTACTTAGGAGAAAGCAAATTAGGCAGCAATACCATGTTTGAACTCGGTCGGCTTCTTTGCTTATCTCATCATAGAACTGAAGCATCTTTTCAAGCAAAAATAACTGTTAAGATTGTATTTATTTTCCTTTGTAGGAAGCTATGCCCTACTTGACTGTAAATTTCAGTGTAATCACTAGCTTGGGTGAATGAAGATCTATAGTCAAGTGATCTGCAGAGGCATTGTGATTTGTACATAGCATGAAAATAAAAAATTACTGCATGTTCTGGCTATTTTGCATGATTACTTGAAATTTTATACTTCCAGGGATATATTTATCTTATTAATTGATTGTTTCTGGAGACACATGACTAATTACTACCCATGTAAAAATTACCTTCATTCATCTTGCCTTGCTATTGCTAAAATACAATATTAAAAAAAAACCCCACTGGTTTATAAATGAACCATATCCAAGTATTATTTATGACACTTCATGCCAATTGTAGTGTACAGTAGTTCTGTTGAAATATAATTTTGAATGTTATTGACAATTCAACTGAATATGAATGAAATTTCTTTATTATGGGAACAAGGTAGAAAATAATACCTATAGATTAACAGTGAATCCTTTGAAAGGGCAGCTTTATGAGTTCACAGATCTCAAAAAAAAAATTCCTCTTGTCTTTAGGTCAGCTGTGTCAGGCATCAGAAAAATATTGTAAGCTATTCTAAGTATACTTTTCACCATGATTCTTACCTTTCCTTGTGAAAGAACACAAAAGATGCTAATTAGGAAGGTGGTAAAAGTATTTTTGTATGTTGGCAGCTCAAGAGAATCAAAGTGTATGGGAAGAAAATGACAGCTCCAAATAAATGTAACATTCTCCTTCAGCCCTGACTTGCTGGTTCTTGAAAGTCCTACCAATACTCAGATTATATGCTGTAGTTTTTTCACTGTTGCTTAACACCTAACGTGCTGCTCCAGCTGGCAAAAATTAAGGTGTTGAACTCTGCTTGCTAAGCTGTGTTTTGTTTCCAGTGCCACATCCATAATTTAACATATTTACATTCAATTGTATAGATGAAGATATTGGGATCCACCAGTACTATGACAAAAAAGAACCAGGTAAGATATAAATAACTGTAACTAAAGCTAAACAAAATTTCCAAATATTCAATCTTTGATGCTGACTGCTTGCTCTGAAAAATTCAACATTGAATTTCTTGTTAATACATGAAGGGATGCTGGGGAAGGATGCAGCCTGGGGCAGGGATGCAGCCCGGGGCAGGGATGCAGGGGTAGGGATGCAGGAGCAGGGATTCAGGGGCAGGGATGCAGGGGCAGGGATGCAGGGGCAGGAATGCAGGGCTGGGATACAGGGGCAGGGATACAGGGGCAGGGATGCAGCCCAGTGCAGGGATGCAGGGGCAGGAATGAGAGAGCAGGAATGCAGCCTGGGACAGGGATACAGGGGCAGGGATGCAGGGACGGGGTTGCAGGAGCAGGGATGCAGGGCAGGGACACAGGGCAGGGATGCAGGGGCAGGGATGCAGGGCTGGGATGCAGCGCAGGGTTGCAGGGCAGGGATTCAGGGCAGGGATGCAGGAGCAGGGATGCAGGAGCAGGAATGCAGGGGCAGGAATGCGGGGCAGGGTTGCAGGGCAGGGATGCAAGGCAGGGATGCAGGAGCAGGGATGAAAGGACAGGGATGCTGCAGCAGGGATGCAGGGCAGGGATGCAGAGCTGGGATGCAGGGGCAGGGATGCAGGGGCAGGGATGCAGGTGCAGTGATGCAGGGCAGGGATGCAGGAGCAGGGATGCAGGACCAGGGATGAAGGAACAGGGATGCAGGGCAGGGATGCAGGAGCAGTGATGCAGGGCAGGGATGCAGGAGCAGGGATGCAGGAGCAGGGATGCAGCCCGGGGCAGCTGGCCCGGCGGTGGCTGGGTGTTTGCTGGCATCCCAGCAGAGGGCATCACGAACGCGCAGGAGCGCCAGCCCCGGCCTCCTGCCTTCCTACCTGGTCTCTGAAATGGCCATTTCAGAGCGAACGATCCATTTTCTTTATCTGATTAATAACTCTTAATCCTCCAAGTTTCACGAGGGGCCAAAAGGTCGCCTGGGCTGGAGTTGCTTCCTCTCTGCGGCCGAGTGGGAGCTTGCGCGGGCATCCCCGGGGCTGCATCCTGTGGGTAAGGTGCCGTTGCCACCAGCTCTGCTGACGGACCCACTCGGCTTCTCTGCTGGCTTCGCTGGCAGCTGCCTTCACTATCTGATGAGATCGCAGGCTCAGCAATGCCGGCCCACCTGTTGGGCTGCACGAGCTTTTCTTTCACTGCAAATTTAAGATACCGGCCTTCCGAGGTGAAAACGTTGAGGCTGTCTTAATTTTTTTGGTGGATTTGCGTGTTTTATCAAACCGTACGACTCTTCCCCCTGTTAGTAATATTTGCTGACAGCGGTAGTGAGGATTGTCATTCATCGTTTCATCCTTTCTTTCCTTTAGCATCACAGATGAAGCGTGGTTACTTAGAAGAGAAGCAAAAGCTAGCAGAATGTAAGGACGTTTTCTGAGTTTCTTGTTACAGTAAGACCAAATAATTAATTTGTATTGGTGGTACCTTTGGAAAAGCATTAAAATAACATCAGGCTGCTTCCAATGTAACTTTTTGTACATGCCATCTAAGACAGACAGTCACAGAACTATGCAGCACAAAACAATTGGAAGTTGTAATTATTCCTTCCTGGCATATTTGCAATCTGGTTGTTTTTTTCCTGTGTCACTAAGCATGATAGTGTGTATTGCTTCTCAAATTCATTGCCAAGAGGAATCCCCAAAGCAATCCCAATCCAGATTCCTTATGAAGTTTACTCAGCAGATGAGCAATAAATGTTTTGCCAATCAGCTCTTGAACTGAAATGCCAGCTGCCTCAAAACTGAAAGTTATAACTAGAATACTTTCAGCCAAAGTTCCAGGTTAATAATAAGCTGCCATCATAGAACTGTTAGCTGTGTTTCTGTTTAAAAGCAATATTGGTTTATGCTATCAAACACCAGTTCTGTGACAGCAAAAGATTTTTATATTAGTACAACTTTTCTTCAGCTCAAGTCATACAACTTCTGCGTAGTTATTATTGCTCAGATCATCCATTGGAGTTCAAACATCATTACATGACGACTGGGGAAAAATCTAATTGATTTTTTCGATGACTTCCTGAAGCGATACGTATGCCGTAAGAATTGCCTTAAGGTTTTTTCTTACTGCAATGACAATTGTGCGTGCGAAACACACGTGTTCCAGAAGGATAAATTATTTGCAATGTTTGGAGCAGGTCGTAGCCCTGTTGGGGACGGGTGGGTGTAAAGGTGGAGGCAACCGTGAGGTAGATCTACAGCAGAAAAGCACGGCGGAGCCCATTTCTCCAAGAGGAGCAGCGGGTGACTTGACTCCCAGCTGCTGATTTGTTTATACAGTTTGGTATCTGCACAGGCAATTTCCCATTTTGCATACGGGGATAAATATTCCAGTATTTATGAAGGCACCCATTGAAAATGTGATCTTACATGCCTAATTAATATTATCATAACAGTTCCACCAACGCTGGCTTCAGTCCAATAAAATACAAAGAGAAGTTGTATGTTGGTGTGCTCTTTTGTTGATATATGAAATCCTTCATTTTTTCACTCTATAGCACTTCCATTGTAAGCTCCTCTTTGCAGGGAGATTTAAACACAACTGTTAAGTCATTCAGTCTGGAAGTTGGCATACAAACTGACAGCTCGGGGCTCAAAACTTTTCATCAGGTTTCCTTTAAATAGCCTAGATTTTAAAAAAGACAATGTGTTCTAGTCTCTCATGGGCTTTATTGCGTGCTTATGAACAGAGAACTGCTCACTTTTAAATGATGAAATTTCACAAGTTATTAGAGCCTGATTCTCAGCCATGAAACAAGCCAATTCCTAGCAACTCCAGAGGAAGCTTTGCCTCCCGCTTTCAGGATTCATGTATTGGGCCAGAATTTTCACACTAGTTTGCTGAACATTAATAAATTTGTTAAAGGACTGTACCAGTCATGCAGTTTCTTGTTTGCTTGACTTGGCAGATTCTTCAGAACAAATTTTCAAGAACAAATCCTATAAATAACTATACTCCATAATATAGGTTATTGCGTTCACAATTACCTGTTGTTAATACCTCTATATATGCATAAATTCATGCATATATATTTTGCAGACACGTTAGTGCCTGCTTTTTGAAACTAGGCAATGAAATGCTAGTTCAAAAGAATAGTATCTGTTTGGGGTTTGATAACTTGAGTCTGAGTTAACACACTGAATGTGAGACATTTTCTCATCTCAAGAGCTTTGCAGTTGGGTAAAATCTTACATCCCCAGAGCTTTGCCCACAATTGCCATGGTGAGGTCATGGACAGTGTGGATATTTCATGGTAACTGTTCCTACGACAGAGCCTTTCAAAAGGATATCACTTGACAGTATAACCCAATAGAAACCGTAGCCGTTTCCTTCCAATATTGGTAATTTTTACATTTAAGGTAACTCCTAGAAATCTCAGTTTTATGTTTCCATAGACAAGGAAGCTCAACTTGAAGACCATCTTTTAAATTATACATAAATGTATGTCTGTACACACATACACATGCATATATACACACATACATATCTATACAGTTGCCTATAAATACACATTTCTCTATCCTTTGGTGGTTTTTTTTTTACTTTTATTTGCCAGCTCGAGATTACCCTTGGATACTGAAAAACAAACGACCAGACAAACTGCGGGATGCGCTCAAGGAGGTAGAGGTATGCTTCAGAAAGTTTCACGTACAGCAACACATAATCCTGTTTTCAAACCTCTTTCAACAGCTTTAATTTTCATAAAGATCCAACTCTCGCAGTGATGATAAATGTGCTTTTGTCTGGCGGGCTGCTCTGAAAACAGCTGCATCTTTGTGTGGCGTGGCTTCGCCCGTAAACCTGGAAATCAGAAGGATGTTAACTGATAGTGACAGTGTGTACTCCAGCTCCACTCTCTGTTTTCTGCTGTCCTTTAGGACTTGCTGCAAACCAGCCCATGTGCCCTGAGCAAATGGAAGAACAAACACATCTGCCAGGTAAAATGTTTCGACAAAGCTCTTGCGATGTTCAATCAGTGGAGCCCAACAGCCATCCGGGGTCTGGTGCAACAGAGTTGTAATGTTAACTAACACAGAAAAATCATTCTTTTGGTTGGCGTTGGTTTTTAATGTATGGGCTCTTATTACCTAGATTGTGTTTATTTACAATTCTAACCCGAAACAGGTGCTACAAAACAAAAATCTGGTTTTTTATCAACGAGAAAAATTACATGAAAGGGCCCCGATTCTGTGGGATTATTATTATTTGGGGAAACTGAAAGCGTCCTGTAACCCCAAAATAGCAGGCTAAGGGAGCAGTTAAAATAAGTTGACAGGTCTGGAACCTGTGTTACATTGCATTTTTAGATCTTAATTATTTACATGTCTGTTGCAAATCTTTTTACTTTTGCTTGTGTAATATGGGAGGGTAGCTATAACTCCAAACCAGCGAGATCATTAATCAAGTTATGGAAGAAAAGATATTGTGACATGTGGCACACATATAGCTACGTTCTTGGTCTATATAATCTCCACGTATTGCACACAAGGAACAGCTTTTTTCAGACCCTCGTTAACACAGACCCGTGGGGTCAGTGGGAGATCTGAAGGGGACACGTGCTCCAGCTCCTTAATCATGAGCTTGTTCTGAAAACCTATCTGATGTAAAGTTTCTGCCATCTCCATTGGTCACGAGGAACGTGCGTCATGTTTGAAGCTGCTTTAGCACGGGGATTTCTTGTAAATATTACTAATACTATTCCTAAAAAGAAATGTTGTGTTCTAACTTCTACACTTTTTCACATTCATAATTTTTTTTTTTCTTCTAATTCAAGTAGGTCCAAATGTGTGTCAGCAGGGCGAATATTAAATATTCGAACATCACACAGCTGAAATTCCAGGAATGTCTTTAAGAATAGCAAAATTTTTAAATACCTGACATGCCAAATGGTAGATAGTCTTTTTGTATCAATAATTTTGTATCAATACTAAAGAGATTATTGTCTAAGCTACATTTGCCTATCAGATCTTATCACTGGTAAATGTATACCATTCACCTACAGATTACATAGTGTATATCTGTGAATGTTAATCCCCTAGAAGCCATTTAAATATTAATTGTATGCTAATTTAGAGGACTCATTTTTTTCTGTTATTATTGTTCTGACTAGGAAAGGAATTTGGTTAAGTAATAGTGAGTCAATTAGTCATGAGTGTATTCATCTGCTTCATTTGCTTTCCCCATCCATTCTCCCTCTATCATTTTCCCTCCCCTCCCATCTATCTGCATCCGCCCGCATTCCTTACCAATACGTCCTCTGCAACAGGGAACTTCTTGCCAAAATTTGATCATCTTGCCTTTATGATATAACACCTTTGGCTGACTATCAGTTCCGTATAAAACTCTTTGTGTTTTTTTTTTTGACTTAGCATCCTCTAAGCAGTTTCAGGCTTACATAGACAAAAAAAATGAGACAAATACAATTTTATGTATTTCTTGTACAAGATAGGGAAAGAAGAGACATGTATGTTTTTATCTCAGTATATTAGGTCTGGCTCTGAATTGGATTGAATCATGTAAAGGAGTAGCTTGATAAAATGTTTTTAGGTGGCTTGTGTGGCCAGAGTATAAGTGATAATATAGCTTATAACATAGCCAGAGTTAAAGTTATAGATAAAAATCATCGTCCTTTCTCTGTCCTTAAGTTCTGCTTTTGGTTTCTCAATCCCAAAACAAAATGTTGGGGTTTTTTTTTCATATAATAGTGGCTGATAATTGAAGGTCTCCAGCAGGGTTTAGAAATGTTCTGCCACAACAATTGTGTTATTCCACTGACTTCCTGAAAATATAAGCTCTCCAACAAATGAAAATAAAATAATTTGGGAGAGTCTTGAACACAAAAGCCGTCTTCTATCAATTTTTATGTGACAGAGCATGTCTTTGAGCATTTTGCAGGAATATCTGGACTCTCCCATTCTGATACAAATGTTCTGAAGCTTCTGGAAAAGATGCACGTTTATTTTTTAGCTCTAAGTAGGAGACAAATTAACTGTTTCAGCAGAAAGTGCTCATCAGTCACGTAACGATGCGATCTATGTCATAGCACTGCTGTATTCACATGCTATTTTGGGTGGATACTAGGGCAGATGCAAGTGGAAAAAGAAGAATCCATGTTTGCATGGACTCCCAAGTGTAACAGAAAGCCTCGTGTCACACAGAGAGCATGGAGAGCGTGTAGGGAATTACCCTGACTGGCGGAATTTTCAGTGATTTGGGCTAAATCTGAGTACATGGTTTAATTAGAGCATTTTTTTTTACCTTTTATTTTTTTATGAGTAGCAGTAAAATGTTAAATAAATTCTTTCGTAGCAATTAAAATATTTAACTCAACAGCCATCATATTTTTTGATACGTTTTGCAAATGGTCTCTGTATTTGAATCTGCCATATCTTTAGCTGAACCAGGAAGAGTTCCCTTTGAATTGTGATAACAACGTGCTATCCCCAAACTCAATGGCTCTTGTACCTTTAGCAAGACAGAAAAAATGGGATCAAAAAACACTGAAAAGTGATACAATAATAACAAAGCTATAATTTAGAAGAGTAGTAGGATTTCCCCTGGGGTTTTTGTGAAAAATAAGCACAGGACTGCTGCTAGCGTGCCTTCTGGAACCTAACCATCACTATTCCTAATTCCTCACTGCTTCCTCCAGCACTTCCAGCTTTTTACTAGCCCACAGGCAAAACTTGGGGGCTATAAATTTAAACATGCACCTGCTAAAAATGAGGGTGCTGCTGTGTTAACAGTTGGTGTGCAAATGACCAATTAGACTTCATGCATATGCCTCAGTGAGAAATCTGGTTAGTTTGCATGTAGATGATCTCGTCCATTGTATGAGTGGGTTTCTCAAAATTGCCTCTTCTCCATGAGTTTGCCTAGAACTCCTGTGATACTGGCCCAGCTTTCCACCTTTCTTAATGTTTCATTTTTTGCATCAGAATTTCTCCTATTACTTTTTTTTTTTTTAATATGAAATCAGTGCATTAGAAGTTGCGTATTTACTTCCTTGTGCAGTGTCCAAAAAAAAAAATCCACTGACCTTTATTTTTGCAGCTCTAAATATTCATTCTAGTACCACTTAGAGCTTCTGAAATAGATGATGTGCTAGTTCATGTGAACATAACCTAGACTGCACAAGGATTTTTGTCAAGGAGCTTGCTCTCCCATTTAAAAGAGCGTAGTTGAGCCCTAAAGGACGGAAGTATTTTCTTTATCTCTGTTCCTGCCTTGTTCCAATAGGATCTGAACGCTCATCATTTCCATATGGTACTTCTGAACCCCAACTTTGACCACCTGTGATGACCTGCAGAAACAAACCTGTAATCTTCAGTTAGGTGATGTCAAAAGGACATAAATAGACCATAAAAGAAGGATGATGGGGGAAAAAAAGACAAGAAGTCTTAACAATAAGATGCCACTGTATTGTTTATAATTAGATAAACAATTTACTCCTTCACTTTCCCTGCTGAGGAGTAATAGTCTAAGGAATTAATTTTATCAATATTGTTGAGTTCACTCAACTCAACTCTGGCTGCTTCCCTTCCTCTTGGTCTCCTTCTCCAATTCTTTAGAATGCTTTTAAGTTTTGCCGCAAAATCATGAAGTCAATTCTATGAAATGATGCCATTGGTTCAGGCTTGGTTTTACAATATAAGGTAGTAAAGATTGAGTTCTAGCCAAAACATTGGATTTCCAACATTTTTAGTTTTACATTTGCATTGTGATGTAATTAAACACATGCCAAGACTGAACTATTTTGTTGCATAAAAGCCAAGCACTAGCTGTGAATCACATCTGTTAACCTGCTAATGAAAAAGATGTATATTTTCTTTGCTAAATTACCTTGATTTGATTTAACTTGATTTGTGTTGCAATTTACAGACGTATATGAGTGGGTTTTATGTTACCGTCGTTGACATACTTAGGGCTGGAATTCTGAGTGGAGATACACAGCAATATTTGCTGACATGGCTTGTTATATCAGCTACAATGCCTATAAGCAAATTGATTTAGCAAGATACGTGGTGACAGAGAGTAGCACATCTGATACCAAAATCGAGACGTACACGAGAACCTCGTACCCGTCACCAGTTACCAAGAGGAACACTGCCCTCATCTTAAATTCTTTTGGTTGCTTTTGATCGCCGCTATTAATGTGTTGTGTGGTTTTAGAGATTTGGAGCTAGAAGTACAAATGCATTGATTATTGTGAAACAGCAACATGTAACAACAATAACTCCATCTGTAATAAGGCATGCAACAGAGTAATTACAGTAGGGTGGCTAAGAAAGCAATCTGGAATGAAGAGGTGGGGAAAAACCCTGGGAACCTGCTTGAACAAGAAATGCTTTGCAATTCTCTTCTCCTTTTGCATATTCCTTTGTTGGTTGGGCTCCAGAAGGGAAAACAGTTTGCAGCAATATTTTTTACAGGCATATTTTCCTTCTCTTCCAATTTTAATCAGATAGAAGCAAATCCTGGCTTTGCTCTGCAGGTATCTTTTTAGGTAGAAGGGCTGATAAGCAGCTGAGCTGCATGAACGAGAAGTCAAGGGCTAAGACTTCCGAGGATAAAGGAATCCACTTAAGTACATGCTTAAGTTCTACGAAAGTCTGTTAAGTCATGAGCCTGTACTTAAGTCCTTTGCTTAAGAAAAAGGAACTCAAATGTCCTTTGCTTAAGAAAAAGGAACTCAAATACATGTTGGAGAGTTGTCCTGTTGGGGACGGGAAAGCCTAAGTCTTCCCCTAAGTATCCTCTGTTCCTTCTTATGTCTTTCTTGCTCATTGGAGAACCATTTTTGGCACACAAAGTACATAATTCCTTCTATCAGAGTGTTCACTTTCAACTCCTCATTAACAAATAGGTATGAAGTAACGCTTTCAGATTTTGTTTAGGAACACCTTGAGACTGTTAAAGCTGTAGAGATGACTCTTCTGATCTCTGGTTTTCACATCACAGTACTTCAGACTGAAAAATGTGTCACCTGTTTCATTATTGCGAGCTTTTTTCCCTAATTTGATATTTGTTAGATGGAATGACTTCATGCCTGGTGTAAAGAATGCCTCTTACATTTGCTTTTATTCTTTAGCATTGATGGGCAATTCCCTTGGGGAGTACTTTTGGGAGTTGGATCACTGTGTGTCTGTGTTCCAGCCAAGCTTGCAGTCTTCCCCATTTGCTTCATATTCATTCCTACTTATGCTTGGACTGCTCCCATCCACCAAAATATGAGCTTAACTATGCAAGCTTATGTATAACAGCACCTACATCTTATTACCATGTAGCAGTCTTTGCATAGACTCCTTACAGTGAGTAAGGGATTGAAATAGTGAACTTTCAATTTGAACACATAAATATTTTCTCTTTTAGAAAGATTACATAGAAACACAGAATCGTTTAGGCTGGAAAAGCCTCTTAAGATCATCAAGCCCAACCATTAACCCAACACTACCCAAACCACCACTAACCCATGTCCCTCAGCACCACGTCTACCCGTCTTTTAAATACCTCCAGGGGTGGCGACTACAACCACTTCCCTGCTTTACTTAAATATCTGCTTGTATTTCATGGTGAACTTTAAGAACTATTTTTCTAAAAGCCCCCATTCTAATCCAAACGATTTTTAAAGGGAGGTGGAAGAAATACTGACCTTACTTGGGCATACAGCGTGTAAGGTCGCTGATTTACTTTTTAACTTTAGACTCTAAAGTTCCTACAGGGAAGGATTTAAACCTGTGGAGCACAGGTACATTACCAACCGTGGTAAGTTATTATAGCAAAAAGCTGTTTAACTGAATTTTAAGTCTTGCCCAAATATCTCAAAATTCTGTGGAGGATAATGGAAAATACTATTTTACTGTGAAAATAAAGAAGGAGGGAGCACAATGGGAGAAACAATAAAAGACATGGAAATGATGTTATTTTTTTACCTACATTCTGGCATAGAGAGAGGCCTATGCAATGTTGAAAATACAAAGCATTGGTCTAATGACGAGTTTCGTAGCTGTAAAGCAAAGCACACCCATTAGCACAACATTTTAGATTGATATAAATGTCTTGTCATCCTACACCGGAGTGGTTTTCGTAGATGTCTGATCTAGCTCTGTAACAGCTGTGATTTATGTCATTACTAGGAATGAACAGAGACTGAAAGAGTCACAGAGTGGGTTAGGTTGGAAGGGACCCTGAGGATCTAGTTCCAACCCCCTGCCCTGGGCAGGGACACCTCCCACCAGACCAGGTTGCTCAAAGTCACATCCAACCTGCCCTTGAACCCCTCCGGGGATGGGGCAGCCACAGCTTCCCTACACCCTGAAACATTTCAGAGTGAAAGAGTCCTAACTTTGTTTGTTGCTCTCAAGCCAAGAGTTTGCCAGCATGTCTCTGAACACACATTGGATGGACATCTTTGATGTCTGCAGTGACAAGCGTGTGGTTTCCTTCAATAACACTGGCCATCTATAGGTGGTCTACTTTTTCTCCCGTTGTTTTGCCTTTCCTCTTTCCCTGGATGGGTGGTGTACATCCTCCAGGATGCTCTTCTCACTCCTTGTACGGAAGGGACACATGGGAATGACCTACCATCACAGTAGTGTTTTCAGAGAGAAGAACACAGGTCCCAGGCAAAGGGCTTGTGGAAACCCAAGTCGGAGAGCTTATTTATGTGACTGTGCTGCACCAACTCTCTTGTTGGCACATAACACTGAAGGATTTGGGGTGTTTTACTCTTCTCTGGCAGTCACTCAATAATTTCAAACTGATCTTTCCACAGTAATTATGTAATTTTGCTTGATCGTTGCTTGCAAGGTAGTTTGTCAACCTCTGGGTTTCAACCCACACTTTGTCAACTAGGTGCTTCGGACCATTATAGCCAACCACAGTCAAACCTTGCTGGGCTTAACATGATCAAGTTGGAAATAAATTGTGATTTTATCTAATCTGACTTCAACATAAGGATAAATGGAAGTTTTGAAAGATTGTAATAAAAGGTGCAGGAGTGTAACTGTGTCTAACGTTTTTACTAGGACAAAACCTTAAAGGACATCTGTCAATGACAGGGAATATTGAAACATTGACTATATATATTTATCAAACAGATGCATGATTAGGCTTTGGCAGGATGGGAAATGATCATTTGTTCTTAACAAATTTGTTTCACATCGCAGATATTTTTTTGTTGCTATTTCAGAGGGCACTAGAATTTGTTTTCAAACTACTGTGAATTGACAGGAAGATAGATTGGAAAAACATTGCTTAAAGATATTAGTCAGGGCAAGAAGGTAATTTATTTAAATATGCTTGTCCTGTTCTTTTCTACAGAGAGCACGAAGCTACAGTAATATAGCAAAAAATGTACAACTGAGAATTTTCATATCTAAATTATTGGGAACAGAGCACCGCACAAGAGGCAAGCTCAATTAAATCACTGCATTCCTGTCCCCAGTACTTTTTATTTATTATACAATCCAGGAGGTCTCACTGCAAGGAAGTTTATCTACCAGTGTGTTGTACTAAAAAGTGTATCCCAGTCATCATCTCACGGCCCTGCCATAAAACAAACAGGGATTTTTTTTGCCAAATTCTACTACAAGAGCAAGTATTTCTCTAGCGGGGAGTTTTTTTAAAAGCACAGAGAGAGATGTCTTGAAGATTCTGCTGCTGGGTAGAAGTAGGAGCTGTGGTCCCAGATTTCTGCCCTCAGTACATCTCTGCAATGGGCTTTTCCCGGAGGATTCCTTTGGCAGAAGAGATGGTTCCACCAGTTTAGGGCTGGTGTAGCCTCTGCTGAACCAATAATGAGGTTTTGGGGGTTTTTTTTACTGATTAGAGGAGGGTGAACCTGGCTGCCAGAACGAGTCCTCCACAGCTCGCCTGAAACTCCTCTTAACTGCTGTTTAGTGATTAAATTATGAAAAAAGAAATGGTTTTCATGACTCCTCCCGCTGAGCATTCTCTCTCTCATACCAGACACAGCATCAGAAGGAGCTGATAACTACTGTGACTTAGCCTTCAAGATTATATGTTTCATTTAATTGAGATTAATTAGGCAGAAATACGCAGTTAACTCTGAAATAAGCCTCTGACTGTTCCGTCCAAAGGTTTTAATTCCTGCTTTTTAAGAGAGACATCTACAACCTTATGCCAAGGACTGCATGAATTTATGAGGAGCCCACAGCTATCACTGTGGTAGGACACTGTTATTTAAATTAAACAATAGATGAATGATCAAAAATAAATGGATAGCAAGAAGGTGCTGGTTGTAATCTGCGATAATAATATAAAATTACATGAAGCCCAACTTTATGTGTTTTTTCATGCAGGCTGTGCAGTTATTTTATACAGAAAAAGTCAGGTCCATGGATGCCAGAGTGATCAATGTCATCCCTTTACTCTTTCAGGCCAGAAGTTTAATCTCCATTTTTAACAAACTAATTCCGTACATTTTCTGCAACGCTTGGGCACTCATCACGCGTCTTCTCCAAGGGTTGAGCAGCTGTAATTCTTGTACCAGTGTCCTATTACACCTCTGCCTTTCACTGAAAAAGCTTTCAGAGTCATTATGAGACATCTTCACGTCAACGATAAGTCTCCTTTGTAATTTTGAAAATTAGATTACGACGTAATGGACAGCTGCTAATACGTACCTTGGAACATTTCACTTTATTAACAATTCTCCATGTCTTGTTTTCTCCCTGTTTGGATTTAGCTCCTCTTTCACTCAGGTATACTGGTGTCCCTGAGCCTTTCTGGGCCACAGCTGGAGAAAGTGGTGATTGACAGGACCCTGGTGGGGAAGCTCATCTCCAACACCATCAGTGATGGTAATTACACCCACGTGCAAATCAATTGCCTGCATTAACAATAGAGCAGAGAAACAGTATGTCAACAGGTAGACTAATTATTGCCACTGGGGACTTGCAAACACAACAAGTAATTGCATGTAAAGCCATAGTTACAACCCTCAGGACTGAGAACACTTTAAGAATAAAATTTAACATCAAAGTTTTCAGGCTTGTCAAATACTGAATGGGTTTCTAAAATCCAGTTTCTTGCACATTTTAATCACTGAGAAGATGCCATTTGAGCTTGTCATGTTTTTTTTCCTAAGTGGGAAAACGGGACAGAACCAAACACTAGCCAACTCATTAATTACGTGGGATAGCTATTATTAAAGTATTTACTTATTAGAAAAGGCTGGATAACATGAGTTACGTGGAAGTGTTCTGATTTAGTTTCTGGAATCCCAGAATCTCACTATTCTTATTAACTGGCGACTGCTAAAAATGAAGTTTTAGTTTAATAAAGAAGAAAACTTATGAAAATTTAGCTTTATGGTACGGCTGTAGCTTTATGAGGGTGTCTCTGCAGAGCTCCACTGAGAACCCAACCAGGTGTCAGTGATTTGGCATCTGCATGATCCAAAATATGGAATTTTGGTGCGAGCCACATTACATGCACAGTATCTTCCAAATTCTTAAAACATAGACCCAAATTATGTCCTTTTAATAAGAGTATGTGCTAAATTTAGCTTTGATCTTGAATGATTTGTTTTCTTCCCTACCCAGGCATCTATTGAATATTGGCCTGGTTATCTGAGAAAGCTTCAATGCTGTGTCCATCTCATCCTTTCTTATCAGAATATTGTAGTTTACTCTTGAAAAATAACATTAATATAACTGTATTAGTAGAATCTTTAGGATCAAAAAAAAATTAACCCTAACCTCATTTTTCAATCAACTGATTACATGGAGAGTGTAAAACACATTTAATGTCTTGACTCCTTTTTTTCACTCTTCACTTAAATTACTAGATTGCTAATTCCATCTCAGATATTTCTGCCCTCTTTCCAGAGGGAGGATTTCATACTTTCAGGTGACAAAAAGCAGGAAAGCATGGAAGCTAAGGTTATACCCAAATTGAAGATGTTTGTAGAACTTATTTAGAATACTCTGTCTTAAAAAAAAAAATCATAAATAATAACTATATACTTAAATCATACATATGTTGCCTTACGTTGGCTTAATATGTCATAGAAATACAAATATTTTTTAAAAATACTGCTAACTAAAAAAGCTTACAACTAAAGCAATAATAAAGCATGCATGAGCAAAACCTGCATGCAATACGTTGGGGGTTTTTTATGAACAAGAAAAGAAGATACTTTTATTACCCACACAAATAGTGTTCAAAATACAAACTTTTATACTGAACTATCTGGATGTGAGAACCACAATGTAATGTTGTCCAAGGATACATTCCCTTTAATCCAACATAATTGCATGTCTTTCCAAATCTGGGTTAGAATTGAGGTTGCGATTATAAAGTTGGCCGAAAGAAATCTGATATTTAGTACAAGAAGTCTCTTTAAAAAGAATAGCTCTTATTTTAACAATCATGTATATGTAGAAATGGATGAGATTACAATCTGTCAGATTTACTTATGAAATGTTGTCATTCTAACTCAGAGTAGCATGTCCTCTTAATGTTTGGAATAACGATAAAATAAAGAATTAAGATCACATTTATAATCCTCTTGCCTCTAATAAAGTCCTGTTTTTTATTATTTATAGGCCAAATTTACTTTTTAGATTTAATTAGAAATTATAGGAAAATTACTTTCCTAGAAGAAAATAGTAGTTCCTATTTTCTAAATTGTTTTGTGGCACTGAGGTCTTCCTGCCCCAGACGACCACGGCTGCTGAGAATGAGGGGACCGCTGATTCGTTCCTGCTTTCTGTCCTTCAGCCAAAACAAATTTCAGAAGCATCTGAGGTGTGCCATAGCTCATCTTTAATTTAAACTACCTCTCTGAGGGTATCAAAATATTCTAAGTGCGTGCATATTGAGGTTACTATATTCTGTGGCTTTGAATTTTCCCACGTGTTCAGGATCTCAGTTACAGCTTCTAACTCACCTTGTCATATATTTTATCACCATTTATTCCCCTCCCCACCCCCTCCAAAAAAAAAAAAACCCCAACCAACCGATGTTAATGTTATATTTCAAAGGCAATTATTTGGCTTTAAACTTTACCCTTTAGCATTTGCATACCAGATACTTCAGAGCTGTGCCAGCACATGACTATTGGAAAATGAAACTGGTTGTAAATCAGAGTAAATCAAAGCAAAGCTGAGTAGCTCCTTTTCACGGCTTACATGCAAGACTATACTGTCAATCTACCTAAGGATATATAAAATGCATGTAGGAATCTAGGATATTAGTCACAAATGCTCTTTTTTCTTTTTTTCTTTTTCAATGTTGTTTCCGCAGGGTTTTGTTTATTTTTAAATCTGGTTCCACTTTCCATGGCGTTTTCCTCTTAGCGGAGGTTCCCGAGTTTACTTTCTGGAAGCAGCTTGCTGCTGGCTTTGCTTTAAACCTGCTTCTCGTCAGCAAGTCTTTGGGGGTCTGGGACTAGTTCCCCTGATGGCTGACTTCATTCCCAGACATCTCTTCACGTGCGGGCACCACTTCAATAACTGGATAACGCTTGGGGAAAAACCCTAGATGCTGTTGTCTAATTAATTTTCATTGCCAAATTAGTTATTCTCTCCTGTGTTTAGCTGGTTTAGTTTAGCACCCCCTTAGGATCACAGCGGGGATTCCAAGAGAGTCTGTTCTATCTTGGTCACCTGTATTGATTGGGTAGCCCCATATGAAGCTTCCAGCCAATTCCTGAGCCCTCTAAAGCAGAACCACGGAATCATGGAATTGTTGGATTCGGAAGCAACCTTCTAGAGATCATCCAGTCCAACTCCCCTGCCAAAGCAGGGTTGCCCAGAGCACATCACTCAGGAGCATCCAGGTGGGGCTTGAAGATCTCCAGAGAAGGGGACTCCACACCCTCCCTGGGCAGCCTCTTCCAGGGCTCTGCCACCCTCACCCCAAAGAAGTTCTTCCTCAGATTGGAGTGGAACTTCCCATGGTCCAGCTTGTGCCCGTTGCCCCTCGTCCTGTCACTGGGAACCACTGAAAAGAGTCTGGCTCCCTTCTCCTTCAACCCACCCTTTAGATACTTGTCAGCATTAATAAGGTCTCCCCCCGGCCTTCTCTTCTCCAGGCTGAAGAGCCCCAGCTCTCTCAGTCTTTCCTCAGCAGGGAGATGCTCCAATCCCTCCATCCTCTTTTTTGCCCTATGCTGGACTCTCTCCAGTAGTCCCCTGTCTCTCTGGAGCTGGGGAGCCCAGAACTGGACCCAGTGCTCCAGATGGGGCCTCACCAGTGCAGAGCAGAGGGGGAGAATGACCTCCCTGGACCTCCTGGCCACACTCTTCCCTGTGCAGCCCAGGATCCCATTGGCCTCTTGGCCACAAGGGCACACTGCTGGCTCATGGAGAGTTTACCATCCACCAGGACCCCCAGATCCTTCTCCTCAGAAGTCCATACGTAACATCCTCCTCCGTGTCTGCAGCAGCACCTGGAACCTTAAAATGTCAAAATACCAGATACACCCCAAGTAATAATTGGCATTTCTTGTCTTTAACATGAGCAATGCTGTATTCTGAAATACTGGTGGATGTTACCGTAACAAAATAAAAAATAAAATTGAAGGTTGAACCAAGATGAAAATGAACGTAGAAGGGCATAAAACATATGTGTGAACATAGTGGTAATTTGGTGTGAGGTAATTTATTCAGGTTTATGTAATCAGAGTCCTCCCTGGGCTTTATTTCTCATTTCCAGGAAGGTCCTGGCAGGATGACACGTCGATGTCTTTTAGGAGATTACAGGGGCTTCAGTGTAATATTTAAGACACTGTCTTGAAACAATTGCTTTCTGCAATGCCTCAGTGGTTTTTTTACTAGAAACAGGTATTACAGCGGTGACAATTTTTATTTGTTTCTTTTTCAGCTGTTCTTACAGACAATTTCATCATCTTATCATTTGAGGACCGTAACCAACTCTGCTTCATTCACTTTACAAAGAAGATGGATTGTCCCGACGTGAACAAAAGACTGGAAAAACTCTCGGGTTTGGACTTTAAGGTATAGCTGTCACCAGGGACTGTAAATACTGCAGGCACTTTATGGTGTGAATCCCCACTGCTGGCTGATACCTCACAGCAGTGTGAGTTGCAAACCTTTCTGTAACTCATCACAACAGCTCAAATTCTAAAAACGGCAGTCATTGAAACGTCAAAAAAATAAAATAAAATGACATGGCATTATGAGTTAATGAATTAAAATACTGTGCCAAGGAGGGATCCAATTTTCTACTGTATTTAGGGTAGGGGCTCAGACACACAGTTGAGTTACCCCCGCTCGGCAGATTACCTGGTGTCCGATGAGCAGCGGTGACGGACCCTTTGCCCATTCTCAGCCTCTAACAAGCATGAAGCGAAATCCGTGATGGTAAACCTCAGTGTAAAAGGTTTGAGCTAATGTGTTTTACCTCTGTGTTTGCTGTGGGCTAAAAATGCACGTGTGGTTGGGGACCGTGGCTCAGCCGATATACACGAACGCGTGAAGTTATGATAATTTGGTCAGCTGTCTGAGCTCCAAGACTGGTAATTCTTTGTAGAAATCTTCATTTTCCCTCTAGTTAACAGTAATGGGATTGTTGGGAGGGTTGGTTTGACAATTAAGCTAAGACTCCAGGTACAGAAGCTGAGTTTCTTGCTGCTGACAAACTCTGGATGTGACCTTAGACTTGGTGCCTCTGTGTCTCAACTCACTATGTACAAGGTGAAGATGAAAATACTCCTTTTTTCCAGCCCTGTAGGTATGGCAGTAGCTGAAAGGTGGTCTTGAGGAGGCTGAACTGGCTTTAAACCAGCTAGTTTGGATGCCAGCAGAAACCAGCTGGTCTCAACCTGAATTCCACCCTGTCTTGGGTGGACTGGGCTGCGTAGACGTTAGCTTCTTTCCACCGCTGGTTGGTTGACATCGGAGCAACAGCTGACCTGAGGTGGAAGTGCTTGATGCAACAACATGGATGAAAAAATTAATCAGCCAAAGGCAATTAACTTTGAGCAGGCGGAGTAGGAAGGGGGCTGCATACGATTTCGCTGCAAGAACGAAGCATGGACAAGCCTCTGCCCAAGAAAGGTAGAAAGACGTAGTAAGCAAAAGAGAGAGTTTCTGTTTATTTCAGACTGGATAAATATTAAGAAAAACAGTCTTCTACTAGCAAATATTTTCCCCTTGACAGCCCCTCAGTAATTTGCTTCTTCACATAAGGGAGTTTGCATCTGCAAGGCAAGGTTTTTGAGGATGTGTTTAATTTAAGTTTTGCCATATTACGTTTTAACTTGCTTGGTAGGAATACTTTCTGCTAGGATGAATATCTAATACATTTTCCAGGCTGTTTCAGTTCAGGGCCTCTTTTCAGCAATGACTTGTGTTTGCGAGATTGATCCAGCCTCTATAACGTGGATTTGAGACAGTTCACTGTTCACCAGGAACTGAGCTGATACGTAGTTTACTTGAAAATTATGTGGGCTTGTGCCTGGCCCGTGGTGTTTGTTAAGGCTGTGCTTTAGAAGTCAGGGTCGTGTGTGGTATGGGGTGTCTTTTTTAATAGTTATTCAACTTCAACGAAGAAGCTGTGGTCAGCCGAAGGCCGCCTTCATCTTTTAATTGTGAGGGCCACAGCTTACTTAATGTAAGTTTTTGAAAATATATTTTCATTCTGGGTATGTCTGGGCACATTTTGGATCTCATGGTTATGGCATTTTCTTTCCTTGGGAGAGAAAGCAAGCTTAATCCATAGAAAACTCTCTCTGCCCCAGGAAACCGGGAATATCTGCTGTACTCCTTAATAGGGTTGTTACGTTCAGTTCTTTGCTGACACAGCTGAGCTTCTAGAAACGCCTCCATCTTCAACGTTAACTTTGCTTTCTCTTGAAATCAGTGGGAATCACTATGGATTATTTCTTTGCCAGCCAAAAAAAGGCATTTGCATTTTTTAATTGAATGTTCTTTTGTGTGAAGCTTGCTAGTTAGGCAGCTAAATATAATTTTTATTATCTTCAAAATTGCACCAGTGTGAGCCAGCAGAAAGTATTATTCACTGCTGCAATAATATTATGTCAGCTCTCTGCATTGAATTAGAGTTCTTTATGGCTGCTTTTGGTCAAACTTACAAAAGCTAAAAGATCACAGCCAGAGTCAACACCAGTGTCGCTATCAGTAGTAACAAAAGAAACAAAAGATGGTCCTCAATTGCCAATATGCAAACTTGCAACAATACAAGCTTTAGAAAAAACACTTCTTTAGCCATGATTTTTTTTTCCCCAAGAGAAATGGAATTAAAAGGTAGCCTGCACTGGTATAAAACTACCATGGGATTAAAATACAGGGTAAAGATTCAGAAAATTTGAGTGTAGCCTTCATTTCTGTCTCTGATATTTGGTGGAGCCTTGAGAAATTTGGTAGCATTTAGGTTTAAATTCCCATTTCTAAGATGAGGAAAACGCTTGCTTCCAGTCGTGTGTAATGATACAATTACATTTCTGTCATATTTACATTGCAATTTCTTTGGTACCTGAACAGAAGCAACCTCACGTTGCCTCATGGTGGGCAGAACTGGCAGGGAACACCAGGCTGTAGAGGACTACAGGCTATTAGTAATAAGAACAAGCCAACCAACTAGTTACAGTTTGATATTTATCCAGAAGTTGGGGTTTTTTTTATAAAATACATACCTAAATGGAAGAATTACTTTCTCTATCCTCTTCCTTTCTAAACGATACCACTTTGGGTTCTATTGGCACTTTGGAAGAAGAAAGGAAGACTCATTGCATGAATTGCTACGGTCTTGAAGACAAGCAAAATATAAACCCAGTGGTTATTGTTTTCCTTTTCTCAGTGGCATTAGTCCATATTTGAGAGTGCCATGTCTAACGCGGGATGTAAGGGTTTCCAAAAGATTTATGGCGGCTGTTGGCTACGTGTGAAGTTGTTATGAACAGTTAAGGCTGTAATACAGCACTCATTAATATCTGTGCAAGTATTTGTGTTCTTCCATCCTAATAAATGTGTTGCCACCAAATTAACTATTTACATATAGTTTTCTTTCAAGTATCAGGTACCTGTTAGCTTTTATGTATGTTTTATGTTTACACTTCTAAAGAGCATTTTGTCAAGTAAAACACAGGATAGTCTGAAAATATTGACCTTTTGCAAGTTTTTCCCATCTGTGTTTTTTTTTTAATCCATTTCAATTTGCTGAAGGAGGACACAGCACAAGGAGTTAAATGTTTACCGTGAGAGAACAACATTGGTAATTACTTTGATTTCAGTTCCTTTTGATGTGTGTTCAGGGGATGAAGAGGTCAATAATATTATGACCATGCAAATAGAAAAGGGGTTCTTTTTGACCATATAAAAAAAACAGCAAAGGATTATTAAAGCATTAACCTTGATTTTAATGGCCTTGGTTGAGTGGTGAGATCACAATTTGGATGAGCCTGATTATTTACTAAATACAATACATAAATGCAACGGGTTCTTAACACCCATTGCACTCTGGCATTATCGCATTACTGCCATCCTTTGTTGCCTTGCAGACAGGAATATGAAAGCAATCTGTCATGTAGTGAGACTGGCTCCAGAAGCATTTCTCTGATAAGAAGACCCCCTGCCCTTTGCTAGTGTCTGGTCCAGTAGGCTTAGCCATGCGCTTAATCCCCAGAAAGTGGTTCGATTATTGCTGACCAGCAATGGCAAGATAGTTTTTTTTTCCCCTAGCTATCAACCTTCCATTAATTCCTTAAGCAGAAATGCGGTGCAATCTATATTTCCTTGGCATGTGTCACCCAGATGGTGCACTGCTCATGTTTTCAAATAACCATGCTCCAAAATAACGGAGTTTGAATAATAAATTCCGCAAATCCTTCCCGAGAAAGAGGCGCAATTCTCAAGAGCTGCATAAACTTTACGCATGATGCTGTAGCTCATCCACATTATGCAGAAAAGTATATATTCTCTTGCAAAGCGGGTGCTTGTAGCTGAATTCCTTAATTTAGGCAGGGAAAAGGAAGATATATGTTTGCTCAAACGCTGTAGAATATGTTTAATATTTGATTACGTCTTAAACACTAGCCTTAGCTCCCTGGTCAGCTTTGCAGAACTTGTCATTTAATATGGCTAAGCTTAAATCCTGTGTGTAGGTCGATGCTGTCAAGCAACCATGACTGTACATTTTGGTATTGATTGGAGTCATTGCAGTAAATTCCTTCTTAACTCACATTCCTTTCCTTCCCAATCCCCTCCCCACAGATAAAAGTGTGAGCATGTCTTTTTTTTTTTTTCTGTCTGAGGAGGTGTTTTTTTTTACCTTTACAGACAGCCTATATGAAGATATATGCAGGCAGTGCTCTGGGTATATATACATTCTCTTTCACGCGTCCAAAAGTAAATGCTCCCCATTGCTCCTTACTGTGCTGTTTTATCGCCTCAAACATTTATTGTGGTTTTAATTTTTTTCCTCCCATCAGATTTCCTACGTTGATATACCCGGACCGGAAGGTAGGAGGATGAAACGTCACCTGGCAATAAACTGTGTGCAAGATATGGTCCTTTGCTGGTGGTCAGCACCCAGTGATGGAGCGTGGCCTTGGTCTCCTATTGCCTGCGAGAGGGACAGAGCCAACCTAGTGCTGTTAGGCTGTGCACATGGCAAACTGGAGGTAAAGTGCTTCTTCTGTGATTGTTCGGATTTGCTGTAGAAATAACTACTCGACTGAAATGCATCTTCAGGTAGAAACGAGGAACAGATATGATAAAAACAAAACAAAACAAAAAAATCTTAAAACCAGAGGTTCGTTATTTAATGACAAAGCCACCTCATTCGGTGTGTTTGCTGTTTTCACATCAAAACTAGCAATCTGAGAGGTGCAGCAAGTGAGGTCTTTCTAATGGAATAGCTCTGGAGCTGCTAACACTGCAAGGAAAAGTGTCAGAGCCCCACGAGCAAACTCTGGTCTGAGTTAGAGACGGCGGCCGTCGCATGCTCGGCTCTTGCAATCGTGTTACATTGACTGCAGTGTTGGCTGAGAGGCATTTTTCATCTGCCCTAAGTGCTTATAAAAGTCTATTATTATAAAATTATTATTATAAAATTCTAGCGACTCCCAGACGCTGCTTAAATTGTTGCTCTGGGTATTGATCAAAGCAGGGACCGATTGTTTTTTCTGAAAGAGAAGTCAAAACCCCCCATCTACAGGTAGGAATGTAAGCTACGAGTCAGAACAAGGCTACAAGCTCACCCTCTTCCTGGCACTTGCTCAGCTTACCTTTTCAGGCACATCTTTCCGTTTTCATCTCTTTCATTTTTATTTCATCTCCTGAAGAATACCCGAATCCAGTTTCTTACGTTAGGTAAACACTTAAAGCTATCTGGGCATACTCTGAAAAGAACAGGAGCCCTGAATTAAAAATGTGAAAGCTCTTCTGGACTAGCACCTTGCATAGGTGCTCCTGTGTTTGGAGTTTTATTTTCAGTTTAGCTGAAGCCACTACTAATATGGACTAAAAAGGCACTGGCTGTGGGAGAAGAGCACAAACTGGAGGATCAGCTGTGGAATAGCTGTTCTGGAGTAGCTATTACAGACTATTTCCCTGTAGGGAAAAACCCTAAGTAACACTTTAAGAATAAGCTGCTCTTATAAACAACATCCTGTTCTCTTTAATTAGGGAAGATGTAAATGCTTTAATGTCTTGGAATTATTACTTTGATAACTAATATTAATTTCAGTGGGGTTTTTTTTTCCCTTGGGATTTTCTATAAATTGAAAGCAAAAGAAAAAAGGGTAGTTGAGGCAGCTTTTCTTTCTTATTTCAGCCATTACCGACTGCAGAATTTAACTTTAAATTACCTCCAGTTCTGCCTCCTTTACTTCTTTTCAATCGACCTCCCTCCACGAACGGTCATCTTTGACTCATCTCTCTCCTCTCCTCGATACACACCTGCAGTTCTCCATTCCCCCTGCAGCCATGCCCCATCACTTACAAAAATCACTCTGGTCACTAAAACCTGCCTCTGCTCTTTGTAAGTTTTTAGGTTGTTTATTTTTCAGCCTAGTCCCTGTGCTGGTTTGATGTCATGAAACTTCACCCTACTAACGTTTCGGAGCTTGTTTCTTACCGTGATTTCCCTACGTCCAGGTTCTGACAGAGACCTTCCCATGACTTCTCTTTCCTTCCCATGACTTCTCTTTCCTTCCCACCTCTTCTCACAAATTCCCTCACACCAAACGTAGCAGCTTACAATCTCTATTTTTTTTAGAGGCTGGTTTTTTTTTAGAGACTCGTTTCTTTTAAGAAATTCACACAAACCACCCTGCCTGCTTATAAGCTTTCTCCGTTTCATTTTATATATTATAGGGACATTTCCAAATTACAGCACGTCAATACACCTTGTTTTATCCTTTTCTGGTTTAGACTCTAAATTGCTCAGGGCTGAGGCTGTCTAGTGTAGTCCCAAGCACACCACCGGTGCTTAACACAATAATGATAATAAGCATTCACTGAGCCTTTAGGCCTAAACACATAATCCTTTTAATTTAGCCCATATTGTCATTTAAATATAAGAAAATTATTTTTAAAAGCCAAACTGCCAATTTTAACTGTTCAGCTGCTTTCCCTTTTCTGATTCTTTGACTGTACCCGGCTGCTTGAATTCTAACATCTCTGGGTGAAATTTCTTTTCCTGTATTTATCAATAAAATACCAAGCACTATGCCAGGGCTATGAAAAAATGCATCTTATGTAGATAACAAATCCTCTTGCTGCTCACCAGGTAGTCGTTCCAGGTACGAATCCCCTGGATGCTCAGTGAGCTGCTGTGTAAGGCTCAGGACACTCTGCCTATAGGTTTCCTCTATAGATCCATGATGGGTAACCTATGGTACTGATTGTTGGTTTTTTTTTTTTTCCTTGATTTCTCTAGCACTCCTTATTAAATTCCCAAGCATGGATTGGGGAATGTCTTAACCCAGCAGCTCTAGAAGTAGCGTCAACCCCAAATCTGCAACTTAATGAGGTACATTTTCCCCCTACAGGGTTATTGGAGGGGAACTTTAACTTAACACCTTTGATTTCTGAGGGTCACTTGATAGCTCAAAACGAGCAAAAATGTATTTAGCATTTCTAGACAGCTTCTAAATGGTTACTCTCTAGGTCAGATACCACAAAAACACAGTGCTTATTTGCCTCTCTTTGCCTCTACTCCTTTGCTATTTGTAGGGTTCTTTGGGCATAGACCTGCAATAAAAACATAACATGCCATTGTTATGCATGAAAGTAAATCTGTATTTATCATATTTGATCAATAGTATGAATTTTCTCCCAGTAAATGAATATTGTCAACAGAAGAAGAGTGAGAAGTGTGGACTGATTCAGTAAAATAGTACTACCAACATCTTGTTGAAAATAGTAGTATCACTCAGATAACACAGCATTTTTATCTAGAATTAAGAGAAGAGTAGGAATTGCTGAATATGTAGCCTGTACAGAGCTGTTTCACGTATTGGCCTTATGAAAAAGTGGGGAAAAAAAGAAAAAAAAAGTAAACCAACCCCAGAATGTAGCAATAGGGAATGGTTTTAAATTGGAAACTTTAAACTTAGATGACAGCTCAGGAAGAACTTCTTTGGTGTGAGGGTGGTGAGAGCCTGGCCCAGATTGCCCAGAGAAGCTGTGGCTGCCCCATCCCTGGAGGGGTTCAAGGGCAGGTTGGAGGGGGCTTGGAGCAACCTGGTGTGGTGGGAGGTGTCCCTGCCCAGGGCAAGGGTTTGGAACTAGATGGTCTTCAAGATCCCTTCCAACCCAAACCATTCTGTCATTCCATGACTCTGTGAAATGAATGGGTGCTGCCCATGGCCGTTCTGGAGAACCTTGGTGCTGACCTGCAAGAAAGATCTGCCAACAACTGATACTCCTATCATTGTGAGAGAGCAAAGGGAAATGGGGCATGTAATTCTTCTCCTCCTGGGAAGAACTTTCTGAGTGAGATTTGCTGGCCACCAGAAGAGTGCTTTTTAGGACAGGAATAGTTCTGGGACAAGGCAACTCAACCCCTCGTCACAATGCTCTCCTGTAACTACGTGTCCTGCAGTGGGGGAGTTCCTGGTGCACGTACAGGGTTTGGAGAATCGTGTACTGAAGCAGCTTTTCAACTTAATGGAGGAAATATATTTTACATTTTAAATGCACTATAAATGTGATTGGAACTGTGCTCTGCGGCTTTATGTTTTAACATTTGCTATTATTAAGGCTAAAGGTTTATTCCTCTAAAAACAGAAACTACTTTTTCCTTGCAAATCTTGACTTGTTTTACTTTTTTCTTTTCTCTTTTTCTTTTTTTTTCCCTGAGATCAGTGTTTACTGTGTTAAATGCTCTAGGATTTGGTGAGGAATCCTCCCCTGAAGAAAGAAAAGCACTCTTCTGTTTAACAGTGTGCAATGTGTGTTTGTGTGTGACATAACTCCTGTTGCTGCAGGACTGTTTCCTCTGGTGAACTCATCCCTTCTCCAATTTATTTATTTAATTAATTACTTTGGGGTGGGTTCGTTTTTTCTTTCTTGAAGTACCAGTCGTCGGGGATGTTATTTAAATTGTCTCCCCGGGGAGGTAATGCTGGCGTTTAGATTTCAAAACCAGAAGGGGAATCTTCCAGAAATCTTTTCGAACAATTTGCTACGAATAAAAGGGATCGGATGTGAAATCATCCTTTGGTGAAACACTTGGAGAGAAAGTCATGTTAAAATCAACATGAACTTTATTCTGCAAACATAAATTAACAGGAGGCGATGATGCCAGGGCTTAGTTACTGTAGTACTTTGCATTTGTCTTTGCCTCGTTTATTTTGACTCCATTTAGTGCTAGTACAAATCACTGAACATACTTCAATCTCGTGGAAAAAAAAGAAATAATAATTTGCCTGAGAGAGAATACTATTTTTCTTTCTCCCAAGAGACAATATCTAGTAGTTACTGCTTCCACATTGTGTCTCAAACTTGTGAAATAAACACAGCAGAGCTTTTTTGAGTGAGCTATCCTGCAATCACTGCGGTGCTCGGAAAAACCTCTACTACGGCGTGTGCCTGAATAGCTGAAATACCTCACCCAAAGAGAGCAAAGAATGCAAAATCCTTGATGTCACATTGGGTTAAAAGTTCAATGAATAATACGGGATAAAGATTATGATGATAAATTTTGAAAGAAAATAAGAAGAAATGTTGGCTGAAGATCTAAACAAGACAATTGCATGTGGGACTGTAAATACAGTGCAGCCAAATAAGTAACCCAGAGTAGGAGCCTTGCATTTTATTTTAGAAATGTTTAAAAAATAGGGCTGGGGTTTTTTTTTATTTCCATCTTCACAACGCTCTAGTTGAAACAGTTTTACTCTAGTGTGCACTACACTTCCCACTCTACATTTCTAATTAAAGTGTTTGTTGTTATTTGGAGCCTCACTGTGTGAAATTAAGTAAGCATTTTTGTAACACCCATAAAATAAATCAAACATTTTTCCCATCTGAAAGAGACACAATTCAGTCACAGCAAGCTTATTTCTCTGTTTCTTTTGTTTTCTTTTTTTTTTTTTTTATCTGCCTGGTAAGCCAATTTTCTGCTTAAGAACTACTGGTTAAAACTCTTATTTGTTTTGATACGTGGACTTTATGCTTTCCCAGCGCTCTGTGCAGAATACTTCAATTTTAAGTGTTCAACAATTTGCGCTGAGAAGGGTGATAGTGCCCACACAAGCTAGGGCTGCTATTTCTTTCAAACATCAAATGAAAGAGTTTTAGCTGGAGTAATTCAGGCCCCCTATTTACAAAGATTAACAGGTTTCTTTAGGTGGATTGTGACGATTCCTGACTCTAGGGGTTGAGTGTCCCTCCTGTGCCGGTGAGCAGATGCAGGGCATCGCGGTCCCGCGAGGAGAAAACAATAGAAATGTGCAGGAATGGGGCACGACTGCCACGTTCATAAGGGAAATATGCATAAATTATGTGGATAGTATTTAAAGACCTTTACTGTATTTTTTTTTTAGCACAATCCGACACAAAACTAAAAAGGGCTTTTTACATTTTTTAAATTTTATTTATTTATTTTACAGAAAGTAATTGGGTTTGACTTCATGCGAAATACTTCCAGAAATAGCATCATAGAATGGTTAAGAGTTGGAAGGGACCTTAAAGACCATCCAGTGCCACCCCCTGCCCTGGGTAGGGACACCTCCCACCACACCAGGTTGCTCCAAGCCCCCTCCAACCTGCCCTTGAACCCCTCCAGGGATGGGGCAGCCACAGCTTCTTGGGGCAACCTGGGCCAGGCTCTCACCACCCTCACAGCAAACAAGTTCTTCCCCACATCTCAGCTCCATCTCCCCTCTTTCAATTTAAAACCATTTTCCCTCGTCCTGTCGCTACACTCCCTGATACAAATCCTCCCTTCAAATCCAAGGCTAAGAGCTTTGGTCCTGAGACAAGAGGACAAGAGATAAGAGGACAGGACAAGAGGACATGGGCACAAACTTGAAGATAAGAAGTTCTACCTAAACATGAGGAGGGACTTCTATCCTGTGAGGGTGACTGAGCGCTGGAAGAGGCTGCCCAGGGAGGTGGTGGAGTCTCCTCTGGAGACATTCAAACCCCACCTGGACGCGTTCCTGTGGGACCTGCTCTGGGTGGACCTGCTTTGGCAGAGGGATCGGACTGGGTGGTCTCCAGAGGTCCCTTCCAACCCCATGTGATTCTGTGAGAGTTATGGAAAGCACTTAATGCTGCGTGGGATTGAACACCCCACCATGGGATATTATGGCTCTTGTCTTTTTGAGATCTGCTGCCCTGTCCCCTCCTCTGCAAACCCAGTTCCCTGCTTCTGGAAACTCCTCCAGCTTTTGCCTTCCCGTTCCCCAAGAAAACGTTGGGTAAATTTCAAGATATATTGTTATTTTAATGTTCCCCTTTTGGGGTTCCAGAGAAGTGCTGCTCACTGGGAAGGAATCCCAGCAGATCCCTTTAAGTGGACTGCCAAAGCACTACACTCACTATGTTTACTAGTGTGTGGCTACTTACCCGATAGAAAAACAATTGGTGGGTAACGGGGAACCATCTTCTTGGGAAAAAAAAAAAAAAAAAAGAGATGTTTTGATAGTTAGACTTCTTATTTTTCAAAAGCATTATCTTATCCTTATTAACGTGTTTTTGTATATCTCTGCTTTACTTTTCTGTGTAGTGGCATGAAGAATTAATAATAAAAGTAACTTCTGACAGAGAAGTTCAAATCTTCCCTCTCAGATAAAAGAGAATATCCATTTTTTTTCCCCTTCAGAGTGCCAAAAACCAGTTACATTCAGCAAAACTGGAAACCAGAACAAAGAGGTCTCTCGGCTTCGTGCTCTTCCTCCAAGAGGCACATGAGGCCACTGATGCATGAGAAGCAGCTTATCTGTTCCAATCTAAGGAGAAATATTTCTCTTGTTTTCAGCCAGAATGTGAACAGCAGTGTCTAGAAAAGTTTCTTTCGAGCTAATTTGCTTAAACGTTATGTCAAAACTTCATTTTTGAAAGGCAGCAAACAGTCTTGCTCTCCTCGCAGGAACTTTTCCTTATTTTAGAATTGTGTTCTATGGAGCAACCAGCCCTACCCTGGACTTCTTTACAAGGATCTGCTCTCAAAATTACATGAAACTAGGAAACTTTTCAACTCGAGGCTCATTAAACTAACCTTCCAAAATATAAGACTGTATTTTCTTTTAAATTCAAAGTAGCAAGCAACATTTTGTCCCTCTTTTGCTCTAACAAGGCAGAACAAAATTATTAATTGGATTCAGTTTGGTTGCTGATTCTCTTTTCTTTGACTTTCCATTCCAGCACCTACTGCTCTGGAGTTCTAAAATATTTTTTTCACCTGTTTTCTTCTCTATTGTCTTAAACTTCAAGGCCAGTCTCTCTCCAGTCTTTCATCTCTCATAGGCTTGATTATTGTGTGGAGCTGCATGACTTTCTTGTAGCTTATGAGATGTCCAGGGAGGAACGCTGGGTTTGGATCAAAATATGTGGATGAATAATGCAGGGCATTGAAACCTGCCACAGGAAGACAGAAATCTGAGTCCCAGAGGGCCTCAAGGCTCATTTCACTGAAGTTATGGGAGCTTTGAAGACTTGCTTGGGCAAGATTTCTCTTTCACATATTTGAAAGGCAGCTACCTGGGTCTCTCTACATATTCTTAGGGAAAACTGCAGAGCAAATAATAACACTTCACCTTGCCTTCATTTGGGGTTACAGAGCTCTGTGGTCACAGTAATCCTTTGTCCACAATAACCTCTTTTAAGGGTTTCCTTGCTTTGCAATTTAACACCTTAATAAGCCACACATCTCAGCAGTTCTAACATCTCCCCGGTAGCCACTGCACATTTTGTGGGCATAAGTGACTAGTTGCAGAGGCAAAGTCATTGGGGAGGGAGGGGTGGAGATGGGAGAAAGTTTTTCGGACTATATGAGTAATTTAATCTTTTATTTCCTGTACGGTATATATTTTCATTGATCACTACTCTTCATTGCAATCAGTTTACCTGGTTTTCACAAGCTGGATGCATTGGCCACTGTATTAAGTGGTTTTGCATTAAATAGTTCTTTTTATGTCCCTAACTACTCATCTTAAACTAGCTAAGGCTTTTGTATTAACCAGCAGTTCCACAGAATTGCAATAATCCTTTTTTCTTTCTTTTCGATGAAAAACCCTTTTGCTGACAAAATAAGTAAGCTGTCAGAACAAAACCTCCTCATCAGTTGGATCAACATCCCAAACACCTTGCTTATAAATTCACCAGTTGCTTCTTAAGCAAGGGGTGGTATGCCAAAAAAATAAATCTGGATTTCTTATTTTCTCCTCCTTTGCAGAATGAAAGGCTAAATTATATGTTCGGTTGGTCTTGTGGTCTGGGGAAATCAACTTTAAACTGCTTTTAACGTTATGGGTGCATTTCTGTTTTTCAACCTGATGTTTCCAAACTCCCTCCCTTGTCCTCTCTCTGCCTTTTAATCACATTTGTTACCCCTTTCTGTGTAATCGGCGCTTGCGCACCACCTGGACTCAAAAGAAGGGCCTTCCAAAATCAGTGGCAGGTCAGCAGCTGTGGTTTGCAGTGTGAAGAATGCTGTGGGTATACCTGAGGGTGGGGTTCGGCTCAGTTTGACATTTTCCTTTCATTCTTTGTTTCTGCATGAACAAACACCAGCAAGTTTCTGACTGATTTCTGCTAGAGACATTGGGTTTCTCTCTCTCTCTCTTTTTTTTTTTTTTTTTTTTTTTTTTTTTTTTTTTCGGAGAAATAACTTTTCACGAGCCAATTTGTAAATTATTACAGCTGGTACTTCTCCCACACTTTCCCCACTCGAGTCCTGTATAATTCCCCTCGCCCAAACCCACCTTTAGGACATGAATCTTGGTTGGACTCCACTGTTGCCTCCATCACTTTGTGGTACTTCCCACGTTCCCACATTACAAATTCCTGCTCTTTGCCAGCTGCTGCCTTTGTAATGGATTCTCCCTCTGTGTCCTTCTTCCAGTTCATCCAACCTTCATGTACCTCTAAAGCGGTCCCCCTTTTCTGCTGTCACAAATTCATTTGTCCTGCATCTGGAGCTATATGGCACCAGAGAACATCCACCATCTCCTCATTCTACAATGCCCGATGTACATTGTGCAAACATATTTTATGTTGTCGTGGCCCAGAGCAAATGATCAAAAATGCTCTGCGTGTGGTGCTCGGAGTAAGCTATTATACATTTCTCCAGAAATCTGGGGGTTTCTCCCCCACCTCACTTGTGAATAACCAGTTATTGTTTTACATCAGTCAGCCACTCGTTTCTCCTCTTAACCACACTATTAGGACCATCCTCTCTTTTATCTCCTATTCTGCTAACCTGCTATATACTCTGGACAGACAAATACAGCTCCAGCTGTATCGCAGGGACTTTTAATCAAAGGAATTAACCTTTGAAAAGTTAAACCAGTAGATTTTATAACTCCGTTTCCGACATGCAGATTTGTTTTAGCTCACTGACCCACATTTGCCGCAGTCTGCTTTTCAAATCGTGGTGGTAAGAATAAACCGTTACCAATGACGACCAAAGCCTTTTGGATTTTATTTTATTTTTTTAATTTTTTATTATTTTTTTTCCCCAGGTCCTGAGTTACGTCCGTACGGAGTGGGATCCTCTGGATGCTGGCTTCGGCGCCAACCAGCCCTACCAGGTCCACACGGTGGAGCGCTCCCTCTCCGCGGACAAGGAGCCCATGGCCGACAGCTGCCTCTACAAGTGTGGTGGGAACAGAATGCAGTGTGTGGCCGTCACCCGAATACCCCTGCGCTCCAAGGCCATCAGCTGCTGCAGAGATGCCACGGGAGACAAGCTGGTGCTGGGCTGCGAAGACGCCTCAATAATCCTGTACGAAGCCTACAACCGGGTGACTCTGCTGGCCCAAGCGGAGCTGCTTCCCACTTCCATGTCCTACCACCCATCCGGAGCCATCTTTGTGGTCGGCAGCTCTCAAGGGGAGCTGCAGATATTTGACACGGCTCTGTCCCCAATTAAGATTCAGCTCCTGGCCCAAGACTATTCACCTGAGGCAACTCTGCAGTTCAGTAAACACTTTGAGGTGCCCAGCAGCCTCGTCCAGATCCAGTGGGCTGCTCCGCAGGTCACATCTGCCAGTGCTGATGGCACAGATATTAATGACCTTTTGTTGGTCAGATTCGACAAAGGACCCTTAGGAGTACTTCACTTTAAACTGGGTAAGTTATCGAGCACATCTATCGAACCCTGAGCTCTGAAGGAAACATCTTGGAGACTTCTTGGAAAGACAGGCTGAGCGAGTTGGGGGGGTTCAGCCTGGAGAAGAGAAGGCTCCGGGGAGACCTTGGAGCCCCTTCCAGTCCCTCAAGGGGTTCCAGGAAAGCTGGGGAGGGACTCTGGATCAGGGAGGGGAGCCCTAGGAGGAGGGGGAAGGATTTGAAGCTGAAAGAGGAGAGATGGAGCTGAGATGTGGGGAAGAACTTGTTTGGTGTGAGGGTGGTGAGACCCTGGCCCAGGTTGCCCCGAGAAGCTGTGGCTGCCCCATCCCTGGAGGAGTTCAAGGCCAGGTTGGAGGGGGCTTGGAGCAACCTGGTGTGGTGGGAGGTGTCCCTGCCCAGGGCAGGGGGTGGCACTGGATGGTCTTTAAGGTCCCTTCCAACCCAAACCGTTCTATGAATTCTATGAATCTTTCCCTCACAAGATGTTTGTAGCTTGAAAGCAACACCCTCAGTTTAGATATATGGGACCAGAGCCCTAAAAGCACGTTGTTCCAATGGTGTCTGAAGATGTGAACCAAGGAGTTAATGATGTTTCACAATTAATTAGTATCTTTGGGGTATGACAGAACAAGACCCTGATCTGTTGTTGGATCAGGGTACCATTGTGTTCCCTTCTACCTTCATAAAGCATAACAATTTCTCATATTGCAAGTTCTGTTGTTCTGTAGTATATAGGTTTAGGAAATGTATTAATTCTGTAGTAATTCCCCTAACAAGCTAATATAAGCTGTATTTAACAATACAATGCGAATGCCATTTTCTTTCCTAAATTATTTTTTTGTGTGTATGATTGCAACTGTCCTTTCCATTTCAATGTGTATTTGTCCCAGTACTCTGTTCTTCCTGACTTCTATATGTGAAATTACACCACCTGAAGAATTTTCACACAAGAAGGCAGGTTTCTGTAACCCTCGTAGAAGTTTGGTCTCTCGATGAATTTTCTAGGAGCTGTGAATAAAAGTAGTAATAATACTAATTTCAGAATTTATATACCACTTCTCAGTTTAGGAATGAGGAGAGTTTACGAGGGTAAAACCGTAAACCATCTTCATTTTACAGACAGAATAAGGAGAAGCAGTAAAGGAAAGCTAAAAGGCTAAAAAGAGTTACCCAACGAGTGACTGAACCCAGAATAAAAGCCCACCAGTGAGAACTGTGTTCATTCCGTTCCAGGCAGGCAAGTTATGGTGGGGCCAACCCACTGGGAGGGCTAAAAAACCAATCACGCTTAAATCTTCTGACTGCCCAGCAGTCAGTGTTTCAGCAGAGCATGTCGAATACACCCGTCCCAGGAAATTTCAGCCTTTTGCCCATCATCTGTCCAAAGAAACAGGATTTCTTTTGTTAATCTTCCCGGGAGGTTTTTATGATTCGTTTGCATACAGTTACTGAGATTAGGAAGAAGTCTATTTAAACAAAAAAAACAAACACCCAAAATAACGATAAGGTTTGAAAATCCACCCTGTTTCTTTACTTATTGAGACATGCGTGTGCTTTTTTGGGGGGTCTAACGTCTGTCTAAAAGTGCTGCAGACCTAAGCGTTCGAAAAACTGAATTAAAAAACCTTAATTAAGCACGCCACTGCAAAAAGGTAAATTGATATCATAGGATGTTTGCAACAGAAATGTAGGATTGACCCTATGGCTGGGTAGTTTTAAAAGAGCTGATCCAGATTATTACTGTCATAAAAAAAAAAAAAAACAAACCAAACAATACTATTAAAAAAACTGTTTATGGGTTATTATTTATTTTGAGATAATTTGGCTGCATTCTGTTCAATGACGGATTTAATACTTGCAGAGTACCCCAGAACACTAATTATAACAGCTGTTTGATGTTTTTGTGCATGTTGGCTATTAAAAAAAAACAACCCAAGCTCTAAATTACCTCTTACCTGTCGAGCAGAAGGCACTCTACCCACATCCACCTTGCTTTTCTTCCCTCCTCCCTTGTGGGGTTTCCTCACAGCGGCTTTCCAGAAAGCACAGCTTTCTCCCGTGCTATCTTTAGCACATTTATGTTCTTAGGAAGGCAAGCAGGCTCTCAGCGCGGGGATTTAGAGGCCTTTCCTGCTAATTGCCAGCTTGTAAACTTAATTGGACTGTCTCCCTGGGCACCGTTCCTAAATCAATTAGGCAGCAAGTTGGCTGTCACCTCTTTTTCCCAAGCAGGTTGCCTGGAAGCGCACCGCCCAGGAGAAGTCAAGCATCCAAATGGGAAGACGTTGACCTCTGCAGATGAAAGTTATCACGTTTTAAAATTCATTCGCTGTAATTACTGTAAAAATCTCTTCTAGGAAGAAGGCGAAGCTCTCTCTGGCCCTCCCTCCCTCCCTCCCTCCCTCCCTCTTTGTAGTCCACTCTGCAAAAATATGCTGTTCTCTCTTGCATCCTCCTTTTCAGCTTTACCCCTCTTCTGGCTGTGCCCCACCACCACCACCTCAGCAGTTTTTAGGTCTCTAGTATTTAAGAAATCACGCAAATATAAATTAATATGGGGAACTTCGTGGTCCACGACAACAAAACCCAGACGGGCATTTAGGACTGAAACAAAATCCATAATTAACTGGTGGCTTGGAATTGTTTCCCATAAAAGACTCTTAAGAAACTGTGCCAATGGGAACGGGCAAATAGGTTTTTAACTTCCAGCTGACGTGTTATGATTTTGGACAAGTTCTGGGAATTCTCCATTGTGCTGTCTAGCCAGATTTATTTCAGGAAAAGATTCCTATTAAATTTACCCTCAAACATTAATGGCAAATATTTTTGGTGCCTAATGCCAAACTCCCTTTTCAAAAGCGTTGCGGCTTCTCGTCGTTGATGTCAACCCAGATCTTGGATAACACCAGGCTTGGTGCTGGTGCCAGTGGTTCAGCATTGCTGGCCTCGAAAGACATTTTACATAAAATATTATCTTTAATTAGCGTGCAATTAAGTCTTTTCAGCTTCGCTTAGTGATTAATGTGAAGATTGCCCAATTTACGTAATACTTGAAAAACACTAAACGTTTAGGAAGAATCAAGTCTACCATAACAATTAGATGTTATCACACATACATAGGTTAAACGTGGCTGTTGCACAGTGTAATGTCCATAGGCTTTAATACCTGCAAATGTGAAGTGAAATACAATAGACAACCGTGTCTCTTCTTTAATGACACTAAAAATCCAAGGTATTTCTCTGTTACAAAAAAATAAATATGTAAACATTTTTGCCCCAAAGCATCAGAGCTGTATTGCAAGTTCTCAGCAGGTTACTTCTCCTCAAGCTCTAGTCAGATGGTTACCTCTACTATTTTTGTTCTCAATTCTTATTTTACGTCACAAACAATATTCACAGCTACATTTACGAAAATTTTGTGAGGTACTTTTTCTATACATCAGGTCTGCTTTTCTCTTGTTATCAGACTTTTTTTCCCCAGTCCTACGGTTTTAATATCGATATTGAAATTCAGCTTGTTACCTTTCTCAGCAGAATTTCTTCCTTAAAATCAGTTTTGACAAACGACATCCGAATGTATGTTGAGAAATTATATTGAGTATTTTCCTACAGGAAGGAGGTGCTACAAGCACCTACGGATTTATTACCTCCAGTACAATACCGATCAACTGGGAATAAGCTTTTTCCACCCTTGTTTAAAACAAACTTCATTACATGATGTTGTCACCGGTGGGTATTGGCCACATTCGCTCCATGTGTGAAGTTCACTGGTGTTTTTCCTCAGCTGTCCAAAGCGTCTAAATACACCAAGATAAGAAGGAGCTATCTCACCCAAAAATTTAACACTGAAACCCATTAACTTCAACTTTCTCATTTTAACAAGCGGCGATTATTTGTAACTGCGCTGAAAAAGTAGTCGGTTGCTGCTTTACGTGCTCCTAAGGCTGTCTTTGGTTTTAATATTTCCTGTAAAAGGTGTCATCACGAGAGGACGGCTGGGCCCCGTGGAACTCATCCACCAGTACATCCGTTATGACGAGATACACGAGGCAATTAATGTCCTGAACACCATGAACTGGAACACGATGGGCCGTCAGTGCTATGTGTGCTTGAGTGCCATTGTCAATCACCTTCTCAAACAAAAGCTCACACCAGACAGAGAAGGTAAGAGTCTTTTGGATATTTTTAATGTATTTTGGTGGTGTCTTTGTAATTCATGGATGAGGACAACGTATTTAGTGACCGTATAAAGAAGACAATACTGAGAATCCAGACAGCCAGCTAGATTATGGTCCTTCATAATCATACGTAGACAAGTCATTTCAATAAAATCTGGATCAATGTGTTGATCACACTTTAGTTCATTTGTGTCAATAGCGACACTAAAATAATGTGTATTTTAATATGTATATGGTGTAGGCATGACTTAATATATGTATCACTATCATATGTACACTGGAACTTTATTACATGACATACATTTGCTTATGTTACAGACTAAAATTACCTAATATAGGATTGAAGAGTTTGTTTTGTGTTCACACTGAGGCAGCACTCACTTAAGGAGGGATGTTTTCCTGCAACAGGGACAGGAGATTTTAGTGTGGGTTTTTTTTTAAGGTGCTTTTGAAGGGTCATTCTTTCATTATAAGATCCAACGGCTTCGAATACACTATCCTCTGCTGCCTCCTTTAGGATTATAGCATTTGTCCTCCCTGTAATCCTCTGGGCCCCTGCAGGAGTAGCTGGGGTCCTCTGTCGAGAAATGAGAACTTTTGGGTTCAGCCTCCTCGTCTGCTGAAGCCTGGTGTGATGCCTTCCCTTTTATTTGCTGCCCATCTTGCAACTCAGTAGACTTCAAGATTTGAAGCGCCTTGATTTAGCAGAGGTGTCATCCCCCAGCCTAGTAGGCAGAGAGCTGGGGAGCAGGAGTCCTTTGTGGCAAGAAAGGATCCAGAGGATTCTGGGGTGTTTGATGATAGAAAAACTCCCAGGTGCCCTACGTGGCCACCGAGCTCTTGGCTATCCCATTTTGGGGGTTCCGATTAAAAAAATCTCTTGTGAGCAGAGCACATCAATTCTAAATCAAACCATGCTTTTAAAAGGACCCGTGAAAAGGGCTGGGTTTGAAACTCTTGTAAAAATATGCACATTATAAATAGATGCCTGTGTGTTTCCCCCCCACACCATGTAGCTCCCTAACCCTGTTTACAGCAGAAGGAATTTTATTCTGGCCAGGAGTTATTCTATGAGAATCTAACAAATTTGGCATGGTAATTTGTTTCCTTTTTTTTATTAGCAAAACCCAGCGGGGCCTTTTATTTATAGCCATGGGGCAGTTATCTTTGAGATCTTTATTCTGCCTTCAACATCAAGCTGGGCTATCTAATGAATCTATGGCTGTGCTGGTGGTTACTCCTGTTCCATGTAGGTTGAGATATTTCAGAAGTACAAAACATGCTGTCAAGAAAACAGCAACGGCAAGGGAGCCCGGCTTGTTTTTGCAAAGGTACTGCTGTATTCAATTTTAATCTAAATTGACTGCTACCTTGAGAGAAAATGCCTTTAAAGTTCAACTTATCTTACTGTCTAGATTTAAGATAACGCAAAACCTAATTTACTAGCAGTTTGCCTGTGTTACTGACACAGTGCTATTAGCACATCTAGTGCTATCAAGCCAAATGAAACATAAATATGCTTGGAAATAAAGAGCCGTTGTTGCTAAATACAGAAATGGCTAGTTTTAACAAACATTAGTAACAGCAAATCAATGAGGTATTGTCTGCCTAATGGGACAACACCTTACATTTTGCTTTTAATTCCCATTGCTGATTAGCAATAGCAGTTTGCACATTCATTCCGAAAGGAGAACCTATATAGCAAATATATATTAAATTCTCCCTGGTCTGCCTAGAAGGACTTGTACTAGGTGTTAACTTTCAAGCAGAAGTCACATAACATAAATATTATTGATAATTAAATTTCCTTTCAGCTAAGCCTGTGGGACACAAAGGTATACTGCATATTTCCTTGTATTTTTGATAATTTTGTACCAAAAACATGGAGAAAAATGCCCAAGAGCTCCAGCTGCAGAGTATAGCAGTCAGAAAGTATTTAAAGTGAAAACAGCTTCTGTAGTAAAGGGGCCTTATTTTATTGCTTACAGGGGAGGTTATCCTATTTCCCACCACTGCATGCTGCAGGAGAGCCAAAGGTTTTCTAGACTCTTTTATTTAAAATTTTTAAAGAACTGGAGGCTGAAAGAGGTTCCTTAGACCTCAAGGCCACCCCAAGAAGGGTTCTGTCACCCACTGACCTAACGCGATCGTCCCTGAAAGACTGAACTTCCTTGTTTGCCCAAGAGGACAAGGACAGTTTGAGCTCAGGGAGAGTCGATCTCTACTGGACAAACTCGTTCAAACCATATTACTCATATGAGTCACTTTTAATTGTGCGCTGCTGGTGAGAACTTAATGCATTATAGACTTCTTCACCCTTTTGACAACTTTTGTTGCTCGAAGTCATTGTCAACCCTGCCTCAAAGTGAAAGTCTCTGCCCCCCTTTGTGTTTGTACAACCTGTCATAGTTTAATTTCATCTGTCCTGCACCACCACCACCAGCGTTTTGTCGGCGTGGGAGGAATTTGACTGCAGACGTGAGCAACCTCTTGTAATTGAAGGGGTTCCACTGGTTTCATTGCCACTGTGTTTGAACTCCGCAGCGCAGCTCGAGGCGAGCCTCGGAACCTTTTATGCTCCAACAAGACCCCTCTTGGATGCAACTGTGCTGGAGTTCAGGGACCCCATCAGCAGATACGCGAGAAGGTTCTTCCACCACCTGCTCAGGTGAATGACAGTTTCAACTTCTATCAACTTCAAATTAATTGCATATTTCAGTAACGACCTACTTTAATGTGGTTAACGTTTTCCAAGAGGACCACCCCTGAAAAAAAAAATGCATTCATTGTTAGTGTTTGTTTAACTTGCACTTCGTTCCTTTCAAGTGCAGTATTACAGATAAAATGCTATTCAGAGCTCTTCTATCACCAATACACTTTAAATGAATCGTCCTTTCCCTTTTAGCTTGGTAGAAAAAAAAGAGAGCGTGCTCCTGAGAGGTTTATATTCACCAACTACTCGCAGATGAACTATTAAAACATCTTGCAAACTTGGAGAAAACACCAAGTTTAAATAGATGCTCAAATGCAAACGGATGGTACGTGGTCCGAGACATTTTTGTCTTTGTACCATTGAAATCTGAGCGCTTTGTTATTCTCATCCTCAAAGTTCTCATACAGAAATTCATATTCCAGTAGTTCTCAGTGAGTTTTCAGTGCCATTAAAATAGGGAGAAAATGAAATGTTGCATTTGTCGGTAAATTATATGCCATTAGTAGAGTCATAATACCAAATTCAGCTAGAATTTATAATACATTGGTTTATTGCTATATTTTTCCTTCATGATAACTTAATAGCCCAAATTTCAATCAGTTGTAAGTAGCAATACACAGCAGTTTAACCTGTTCACGTGTTCAACCACAAACACAGCTGAAACATTCCCTCAGAGATCTATCCAGTGGGTGAAAATAAGGAAAAATTACTTCCTGAACGATACAATGTTTGTAACACCCTCTTGAGGAGGGGAAGTGTAGATGGACATAGTGAGAAGACTTGCAATGCACCCATTTTTGGCGATTCTTGCAGGTTATATACAAAGTTGGCATAAGCAAAGCTAGGAACTGCCAAGTTACTTTGATGGTACAGTTTGTGCTGCTTTCAGGTCTCAAAGAGAAATATTGTACATTGTCTTCTGCATCTTAGAATCACAGAATCATAGAATTGCCAAGGTTGGAAGGGACCTTTCAGATCATCAAGTCCTCCCATCAACCCAACACTGAAAAAAACACCACTGACCCATGTCCCTCAGCACCACGTCTACACAGCTTTTAAACACCTCCAGGGATGGTGACTCCACCACTTCCCTGGGCAGCCTGTTCCAAGGCTTGACAACCCTTGGAGCACCCAGGGAGCAGCGGGGTCTCCTCATGCCATTTATACCTCCACTCTAAAGCAGCCCCCTCAACCATCTATGGTTTTGGGGCAGCTTTAGGAACTTTTGCTTTTTGTGTTATTTCGCTGTTTCCCTGTTGTCAAAGGGATTTGTGGCCCATGGGATCAAAGTGATAGGATCACGTGCTCGCCACGGAACAGATGGTAATGCTTAAAGCTTATCTGAGAAGACATAATCTAAGTACAAAATGAAATGTTCAGAAATGGGAGATTTATCTGATAGAGAGCAAGGAAATGATGTTCAGAGCTGATCTTTATTGTATTAGAGTGGCTGCGCCTTAATTGGTGTTTATTTCCTTTTAGATGTTTTCTTAAATGACTAGAATGATTTGAATGTAGGCTAAGCAGAGAGTCCTGCAGATTTGTTGGAGGAGTGGTAAACCATGGTTCTGGGTGAGAGAATGCCATCGAGGCACCATGCGAGGTCTCGGAGAGTCACTGGGAGGCACAGTGCTCACTAATTCTTTCAGGCACCTGAACGTTGCAGCCACTGCTATTAAATCCCCCTGTGAGGAGCCAGCTGGGCAAGTCCCTTGTGCCAGCCTGCCTTTACCATTGCAGGTTCACAACAGGAAGGAAAATGAGGAGAGAATTACGCTCTTGCCTTTTCAGGTCCCCATGTGATGCCCGTGAGGACACTGAAAATGGAGTAGTCCTCTCACTACCTGTTTGTCAGAGAGAGAACTGTATCTGGGTGTCAGGAAGGCTACCTTTTAAGTCATAGAATTCATAGAATGGTTCAGGTTGGAAGGGACCTTAAAGATCATCTTATTCCAACCCCCTGCCCTGGGCAGGGACACCTCCCACCAGACCAGGTTGCTCCAAGCCCCCTCCAACCTGGCCTTGAACCCCTCCAGGGATGGAGCAGCCACAGCTTCTCGGGGCAACCTGGGCCAGGCTCTCACCACCCTCACACCAAAGAAGTTTTTCCCCACATCTCAGCTCAATCTTTCAATTTAAAACCATTATCCCTTGTCCCATGGCTCCCTTCCCTGATCCAGAGTCCCTCCCCATCTCTCCTGGAGCCCCTTGAGGGACTGGAAGGGGCTCCAAGGTCTCCCCGGAGCCTTCTCTTCTCCAGGCTGAACAACCCCAAGTCAGTTATATGTGCTCTGCCTCAACCTTTGTTATTTGAATTATTCACCACTTTTTTTACCATTCGTTTAGCACTAAACACTTTTAAGTGAGTTAGGAACAGGGAGTCCCTTCACAGGGAATTTGTGGTGCCACAGACACATCTGTGTGACCAAACAAGAAGACTTGGATGCAGGTGCACGGGAAAGGTGTCAGTGCCACCTTGATGCAGCACTGGGGGACATTTGTGACTCTCCTGTGAGCATGAAGAGACAAAAGGGAAGCATCCAAAGTGGAATTCCTAAATTTCATGCCCTATACGTGTGGGAGCACGGAGCGAGGTGGGGGGAGACAGGTTGGGATGTGCGTGGTGGGCTGAAGAGGAGACCAGACAGATAAAGGTTGGACAGGGAAGGGTGGAGTCTTTCATACAAGATTAAAACGTTAAAACACTTACACATTTCTAGATCTAAATCTGAAAAATGTTCATATAAACAAGAGTTTTCATCCCCCTCTCCAGCTTTCCTTTGAATGCCCCACCAATCTGCCTTAAGCATTTTCTAGAAGGACCCACTCTTGGGAGAGAAATATTAATTCATTCTACATGCCGAGACAATCTTTGACCTGCCTGCTGAGTCTGCCAAAAAGGTGCCAGTTATTGTTGTACTTTTTAAGCTGTGAGTGTCTGCATATTGCTAGAATTGAGAAATACAGTTACCTTTTCAGAAGGGCTCTCCTCACCTCGTAATAATCGTGTGCCGGTGATTTTAATCTTTACTGTAGGCTGAAAGGTTGTGTATCCAGTCGCAAATAACAGGAGACATCCATTTTCACCTTATCAGCGAGATTATAGGCTATTTTTTCTAGCACCAAAGAGATCCTTTTCTAGCAAGGGAGAAGATGCTCTGTCGTTCCAAGCGATGGGGTGGCAAGTGCGGGTTAAAAAACGGTGCTGCAGCCTGGGGTGGGCCAGAGGAACGCTCCCAACAGGAGAGAGATAGGTCCCAATTAGAAGGAAGGGCGGGCAATGCCTCGCAACAGATCTAATGGGGCTGTGTCATCGGTATCCCTCATTAGGAAAGCTAACTTCTTAAATTTTGCAAACCATGCAGCCATGGTGAAAGCAGAACTCAGAGCTTTGCAGGTACGGTCCCTGAATGCAGAGCGTGGGATACCTCCAAAAGCAGGCGTTGGGGGTTCAAAATTAAAATTAAAGGCCTCTTAATCCATTACAACAGTATTTATGGAATGAATAATTATTTTCACTTATCTGTAATTAAAAAATGCAGGAACTGAATGACAAGGGGAGAAATGTATCTTAGGTGTTCCTTGCCACTTGAGCGGCGCTCCAGTGTTTGATGGTGATGTCGCTGCTTATAATAATATAATGCCTTATATCATTATGTGAAATGGTGAGCAGGGGTGGGTTTAGTAGGAAGCCTTGGGGAGCCGTAACCTCCTTGCCCCACACCCTTTCGGGGAGTGTGTTTGGAGGAGGAGGGGGGAAGAAATGGCTGCACAACCCCCTGCCCCCCCTGCAACAACCTCATCCAGCCCCACAGGGGGCATGGAAGGGGATGGAATCGGGGCACGGAAGGGGATGGAATTGCTCGTTAACTCCTCGCTCGTTAACTGCGGCGTCGCTGATTCACCCCGAGCGAGCGTTGGTGAATGGTGCTCGTCGTATTTTCTAACACGTGGAATTATCTTGTTTGTTTGACACACACACGTGCACACTCACACACACTCACACACGGACAGGAGACCACGCCTGCTCAGTTCTGTTGGGATTTTTCCTGCCTCTCCCTCGGAGGAGGAGGCGGCGAGAAAGCAAAGGCAGCGTGAGCTGGAGGTGAGGGCTGAGCTGGAAAGTCAAGTCTGAAAGGCAGCTGGGGAGGCAAGGAACAAGAATGCAGCCACGGTGGTTCTGCCGTGCCCTTTCCTCCTTTATTCTGCTGAGCTTGTGTCCGGGAATACGCAGTTTAAGGATTTTCTTGCACTTTTTTTTTCTACATGGAAAAACACCAAGGTTCAATTTTTAATTGGTTTTAAAGTGGAAGAAAAAAGATTCAGATTAGATCTCAGGAAGAAATTTTTTACTATGAGGGTCGTGAAACACTGGAACAGGTTGCTCAGAGAAGCTGTGGCTGCCCCATCCCTGGAGGTGTTCAAGGCCAGGTTGGATGGGGCTTTGAGCAACCTGGTCTGGTGGGAGGTGTCCCTGCCCAGGGCAGGGGGGTTGGAACTTGATGATCTTTGAGGTCCCTTCCAACCCAAACCGTTCTATGATTCTATGACTCAAAACCCTTTGGGCCTTTCCATCTGATAATTCCATCCGGAGAATGTTGTTGTGCCTTTTTCCCCGCAGTACAAATGCGTTTCCCTACAAAGCAAGGCTCTGTGGTAAATAAAAAGGCAGCGCAAAGTGTAGCTCCGATCACATTCTCTGCTAGAATTTTGGATGGATTCATGAAAGATTCTCCTTTCCCTGAACCCAAGCACGAAAACCTGCCCCATGTTTTTGCTGTTACTGTCTTTACTCCTTCGCCAATCTTCTCACAAGCGTTGTGCACTCTTCCCAGCGCTCAATGCAAGATGCTACCAGTTAAATGCAAAGAAGAATTTACCTCCACGTTGGACAGAACGTTCCGAAAGTGGTATGAATTTCCACGCGGAACTTGATGGAGCTCCTTTGTAAACAA